TTTTACATAGCAGTTTCTTCAGTTTATTACCAGCATATTTTCGCTTCAATTCCACCAAGAAACATCTTTCGGATGCCATGCAATGTAAACTCAACAAGAGTTCGCTCTTTCTCTTCTCGTAGAGACGTGACTTAACGGTTACAAACACACGAGACAGATCGGACCATCTTTCTCTGATGTGATGCTTCTTTTCCATGGCTACTATGGCCTTCTCGTTCCTATGTACAATAAATGTAAGTTAGAGAGATTTATTATTTGTTTTTAATTTCGGCACCCTTAATTCCCTGTCTGCAGAACCTGATTATTCCAGTCGTTGCTGCAAGGAAGGAATTTGCATATTTATGACTTACCGTTTGATTTTCTTTTCAACATCTTTTACTTTCCCTTGATCTTCATCTTGTACACAGCTCAATTCATTTCTGAAAAAAAAATTTAAATGGGTGGAGATACGTACACAATATGTTCAGTTTAATACTTAGTAATTATATTTGCTAGGGTGGAAAGAAAGGGGAGTACGAATACTATATTTATATTATTGTGAAAACAGGTTTTTGCCTTCACAAATAAACGGACGGACGGGGGACAACCCGATAAACTTCTTCTGGGAAAAGGCTTTCCTGGGGGCACTCGCTGGCTGCGGGAAGGCCGGAATCTATTACGGCTGTTGACTATCCTCGAGACAATGACTAACAACGACAAAGTTGGCTCCAAAGTGGATTTATTAAATACCGCTGGGCTGACTAGTTTTTTACCTGACTTGACCAGACTGGGTTTGACCGAAGAAAGCTCTACAAAACAGCTCTATTTAAGCCGAGGTCACAAAGGATCAGGTAATGCCATGAATCAACTAAAGGATCAGTTTCACGTAGTCCACTACAACGATTGGTTAGGTAGGAATTTCGCCTTTTACAAGTTTAATCGCTTTCGAAAAGCTCAAGTACTCGCTAATGTAAGTCATGAATAATTTGGTAGGTGGTATTTCCACACACTATATACCTGAGTTTTTTAGACATGAGGAGCAAGCTGACATATGATTCGTCCCACTGCAGTATTAATCCTGTGACAGATTAATAATATATTAGTGAATACAAAAAAAACTGTTCTCCCTAATGATTGTTAACAAATGCTGAGGAATAAAACTACCGTGTTCTTTTGGTTTCAGTGCTTCAACTTCTTCCTTTTGCCACTCTTGTATCACATCATCATCACAATCTAGTACAGGTAAATACAAGTATAATTTGCAATAATCATATAGCATGCATGTAAGTCATTGTGCTGTTTTTCAATGCAATGAGTAAAAAAAAAAAAGGTTTAAAATGTATACCTGGAAGTTTTTCAGTGAGTTCCTTAAGCTTTGCACTGACATCCTGTAGAAGAATTTCTGCCCTTGCAAACTTTGCTTTTAGAGTAAAACCTGTGAACATTAAAAGGAATCAGTTTGATGTGTACTAATAAGACTAGTCAGCCTCGAGTTACATCTGTACATACATTGCACATGTCCATATTGAAAAAATGAAGAATTGCAACTACGACAGAAAACACAGGGTAGATAAAGCTGTCCAGCTAAAGTACTGGTCAATAGTTGATATCCCTTTTACTTTTCAGCAAAACCCACAGAAATGTGAAAGTTATGTGTTCAATAAAATTAACCATACCAAATTTGTGATACAAATGTTGGGCATAGTGAAGAAGCCCATCAGTCAAAACATCTGTCCTTTTGTGAGCACTCATTTCTTTAGTGACAGAGGAAAACCTTCGCAGAAAGGACCATAACCTTTCCACCCCTTCACCATCTGTCAATCCAGTTCCCTTGATCCTTCTTGGACTGTACTGGATCTACAGACAATCATATTGAAGATAAAACCATTATTGAAGATAAAAGCATTAATATGGCATGGACCTTGCATCAGATATTTAGCAAATACATGTACTAGCCTGCAGTGCAGGCAGATTTTAGCAGTGTGAATGAATATTTCCAACTTGAGTGTTCAAAGCACCATCTTGAATTAGGAAAACAGCGGAGAGTTGGAGCATGAGACCTCCTCACGCATTGTATTTTTGCCCCAACTTTCCAGTAAAACAAACACTCAAAAGATGACCACCAACAAAACCACCTGCACTGCAGGCTATATACTTAAAAATTTAATTTTCATTCTAGGTAAAATTAACCTTGAGTAAAGGCTCACTGGTTAGTGGTCATTTCCAAAGCTGATAGGCTTATGTAGGGTGGCCACTCTTTTATAAGGAACATGTACATGTGCTTAAACATTTCACCTTGCTTGCTTAGCTGACCCTTGCAGATCATTTGCTTTCAATTTTAGAAACCGCTGTCAGATTTCAGATCCCACACTGCTCACCGGGCATTGGTAGGTAAGTATGGGATGTGTATGATTACAACTGTATTTAACCAATGTTGAGTATTGCCACACATTTCTTCACATTGCCACAAGGCCATTTACTGTTAAACTGATATATACTAACCTGGCATGATGCCTTGTGCCCATAGCAATGGAATATGGGTATGGCAACATCAACACCTTCCAAGAGGCTTTCCTGAGATGAACACTAATAAATATAATCATGTACATGTAAATGAAAATTGTGTCAGTAGTAATAAACTATTCTGAAGTTAAGATGTGATCCTCACAGATATTCATGCAATTTAAATGTAAGCAATAATGGGAATTTAACCAAACACAAAGAAGAAAAGAATCTGGCCCCATTGGGATTTGAGCCCATGACATTGTCATTGCAATGCTCTACCCACTGAACTATGAACCCCCATATGTTGGGAGCAAGCCAGTACCCATGAAAGGAAGTGATGAAACAGACAATGGAATTACGTCAGTTGTAAAAATGACATTTTATTTGATTAAGCCAATTGCTCAAAATTCAGTAAATAACTCTGATGATTACATCTTCATTTCCTTTCCACAATTCACATAATTCCAGTCTGTTCCAATAAATTATTTTATTTCATCCCAAATTTAATAGAAAATACTTTGGACAATTCCACATAATTAAATACCACTTTAGATTACCATTTAGCCTCCTGCACATCCATGTTCAAAAAAATTTAGTTACCTTCAAATGGTGTGCTAATAGACAAGCAATGTCATACATGATGATTACTCTGTTTCTGGTGCTCTCATTAAGACTTCTAAGCCTCTTAAGCTCATAAACAGAGTATGATATTCTGTAGAGAGAAAAGATTGTTGATTTTTTCTTTTATATCTTTTTACACAAAACTAAGACAAATTGAACATATTTCCTATAATATGACATTCAAATTAATAACAAAGTTATACAATGGTGATGCTAATAGTGTAAAGAATCATAGGATGCACCTGTATTGTATATACAAGTGTGCCAATTGTCAGCTTGACAAATTCATAATAATGGCTCTATCATGTAACTCTCTAACAGACAATACATATAGGATTGAGCACAACATTAGGTAAATTGTATTTACATACTCCATACCTTTCACCATGCTTTATGTTATGGAATCCTTTGGGAAAGTCATGTCTGCATACTCGCCCAAAGACACCTTTCTCGTCAAAGAGTTTGTTTTTGCCTTTTGATCTTAAAGCTGAAAGAACCTCTCCAGCATGGAACTTACTACAGTTCTGTGAAAAAAAAGGGACAAAAGCAGAAAATCTTGAATTTAAAGGGCCAAAAGGAAAATCATACAGTTATCAAATTAACATTTATGCCATAATGTATGAGCATTGCATTATCTTAAGTACAGACCTGTTCCATGTCTGCTCCAGCTTTGCCATAACTGTTGACAAAATTGTCAACATCATCCTGGTCTGCAAATAGGAGTGTTCCATGTTTGGGTGTTCCTAAATTATGCCCTTTGTCCTTCTTTCTGCACAGTCCAAAGCACCCATCCATGCTTTCAATGAGAACACCATCATCCTGTTCAAAAGAGAGGGGAAAAGAGAAAAATAGATATAAAAAAGAACAGCAACAACAACATAAAATTAATACTGCAGAACTACAGTGCAAGCTACTATTCAGAACAAATTACAATGTATAGTTACCCTTGGACATATAGGACACCAAGCTCCATTGTACAAACTTCCATTATTGTACTTTGTACAATGCCTGTACTGATACATGAAATACCTTCATGTGAAAACAACAAAATGTCAATCAGGACTTTCTTAAAGAAAGTCAGTAAATGTACATGTACAACAAGAAAGATGTTTCGTAAATCATGTGACTACCTCTACTACTACTAATAATAATAATATTAATAATACTAATATAACAAGAACAACAACAATAATAATAGTAAAAATAATATTAATTCTAATATCAATAATACCTTAGAAGACATTGTACATCCACAAATTAGCAGCTCTGATATTCTCAACCTATATGCAAACATACCTGAATTCTTCAAAGCATTCTGAATTAAGGATACTGTAAATTGAGCTCACCTAAAAAAAACATACCATTCAACCAGAATCAATCAATTAAAAAAAGTCATGTCATGTCTCAAAAAGACTGTTTGTGAGCAAACCTACATGTGTTGGCTGTAGCTGAGGATTGAGTTCTGTGATCACTTCAGTGATGTTTAGCAGGGACACTTGACAATGAAGAAAGACCTTCTCCACAAACTCCATCAGTTTGAAGCTGAATCCTGTGGTGGGATTTGCTGGTGACCCTGGCCAGAACTGGCATTTCAAGAGTGTGACAGCATGCGGCTCACAATCACACACTTGTACATATTTGAGGTGATAATTTCCTGACATTCATAGAAAAATAAATGAACAACTTAAGAAGTTAAGTAAACAAAATGAAAAAAAACATTACATACAGCTTTAAATACCTCTTACTTTGTTGAGGGCTGTATAGACACCTTGGATCATGTGTACTATAGGTGGACTCGGTCGACATATCGGGCGACAGTCGACCGATATATCGGTCGACTATCGGTCGACTATCGGTCGACAATCGACCGACTATCGGTCGATAGTCGACCGATAGTCGACCGATTGTCGACCGATAGTCGACCGATGGTCAACCGATATATCGACCGACTGTCAGCCGATGCATCGGCCGATATGTAGCGATCAACTGCCGGTGAAGTATCGGTCAAGTATCGGTCAAGTATCGGTCAAGTATCGGTCAAGTATCGGTCAAGTATCGGTCAAGTATCGGTCAAGTATCGGTCAAGTATCGGTCAAGTATCGGTCAAGTATCGGTCAAGTATCGGTCAAGTATCGGTCAAGTATCGGTCAAGTATCGGTCAAGTATCGGTCAAGTATCGGTCAAGTATCGGTCAAGTATCGGTCAAGTATCGGTCAAGTATCGGTCAAGTATCGGTCAAGTATCGGTCAAGTATCGGTCAAGTATCGGTCAAGTATCGGTCAAGTATCGGTCAAGTATCGGTCAAGTATCGGTCAAGTATCGGTCAAGTATCGGTCAAGTATCGGTCAAGTATCGGTCAAGTATCGGTCAAGTAGCGGTCAAGTAGCGGTCAAGTATCGGTCAAGTAGCGGTCAAGTATCGGTCAAGTATCGGTCAAGTAGCGGTCAAGTAGCGGTCAAGTATCGGTCAAGTGTCGATCAAGTATCGGCCAAGTATCGGTCAAGTATCGGCCAAGTATAGGTTCACTTACCGACCATATCGCTCAGAAGAAAATAGGCCAAGAAAGAGTGCGAGGTTTTTTCGATATATGTTCCGATTTGGTAATGGAAAAATACATTATAAAGTTGGTCGCTCTTGTGTAATTAATGTTGTACCTTAACGTATTTCCATCATTCCTAAAACTACCCGGCTTATGCTTTATCCCTGATGTCATGCTGCCCTTAATCCAACATACCTAAAATGATTATTATTCCTTAGCTCTTATAGCTCTAACAGGTCCTTAACGTTATATTCCTTGTACAACGTTACCGATATTAACTGTCCAGTTTATGTCGGTAATGGGATCCACCTAAATTGTATCAGCTAAAATTGTAGTGTGTAACTGCCCAGCTAAACGAAAAGCAAATCAGCAAATGATCTTTTGAAACTGAACTAGGCGGTTAAACTCATAAGCAAAGCGATTTTATAAAGACTTCTTTTTGCAGTGCGAGGTCAGCCGTTGTTTGTTTGTTTTTTCATTATTGTTATTTGACCTAGAATAGGGCGTCTTTTTGGGGGTTTGGGCCTTAACAACGGTATCAATTTTTTTTATCCTTAAATAGGGAACTCCGCAGCACCCACCTATCGGAAATACAGTACTAATCCGCTTATAAGAACCTAGAATTCGCGAACCTGTTAGCCTAAAAATATCAATTTAGACCCCCTTTACATAAGAATCTATATAGCCTAAATTTGAAACAGGTTCCTGTTTTAGAAAATAAACCTTAAAGATCATCAGGCAAAGATAAAAGACATGACTCTCAAAAGTAGTGAACTTAAACATGTATGAACTATAAAAATCTCTAAATTTGGTATAAATAATTTATGAAAAACGGTAGTATGTACATGTTGGTTTTGAATTAGAATTCACATGAGTACACCCTACGAGTACATTTAGAACTGAGAACTCAGATTCTTATAAGCGGGTAAGTAGTGTAGTTGACTTACTAAAACGAAATCAAGTCTGCAATGAATATCTGGTTGTCTTTGCCTCCAGATAAACCTCTTGCCATTTGGATTAAAAATTCTCCAAACATCGCATAGCTCCAAATTTTCCATCGCATTTTGCACTATCTTTAAAGCGTTCTGATGTGTTCTAGCGATGCCATTTTTTCAGAGAAAATTGAGAGAGTAAAAAACATCCTAAGCAGCCGGTCTGCTAGGAGACTTACTCTTCTAGGTAAAATCACGATAATAAAAGCTTTGGCAGTATCCCAAATTGTACATGTTTTAACCTCTCTTCCAACGCATCAGGGTGCACTTAAGGAAATCGATACCCTGCTATGTGACTTTCTCTGGGAAAGCAAAGGGGACAAACTTAAAAGGACACAAATGATCAATGATTACGATAAAGGAGGCCTCAAGATGATAGATATTCAAAGCTTTAATAAATTGCTAAACAAAAAGTGGGTAAATGGAAACTTCTCGTAGACTTCCACCTCCAGAAGTGTAGGGGGAAAGTAATGTTTTTAAAGTGCTACTACGATCAAACTATCCATATCCATTTTTATAATTTCGTGTAAAATATGACTGTCTAAAATACCTTGCTAAATATCAATCCATTACGACCATCAGAAATCTTTTTTTTATTTGTATTTTTATTTCCGAGAAGTTGCAGTCGCCATTTCTTTATCTCGTTCCAATTATAGCCTGGTTGAGAATTAGGGAAAATGACGTCAAATGCTCAAAATACCTCGCGTAAATTAACTCGAGTGTGCTAGACTATTGCAATGTTTGAATTTATTACAGGTACAGTAAAAAACCCTTTTTTAAGAACCTAGATTTTACGAAAAAAATAGATTAACTGAAAATGTTAGACAAAAATTGTACATTAAAACTCCTTTTACACGAGAATCTGTTTTAGCCTACAACTTTGAAACAGGTTCTTTTTTTGAGAAATTCCGTCAAAGCAACAACACAGTTCCATGTATTAATGTTACGTTTTGTTCTGTTTATCTTGGATAGCTTTGTAAACTTGGTAAATATATGCTTGGATTTTTAACATATTATGCATACAATACCAAAAATAGGCCACGCCCTCCAATGACAAACAACTCATTTATTTTTAAAACTAGACTGCGAGCAGAGGGCGCGATCGACGAGCGGTGAGCGGCCAAGCTGCGATCTCTTTTCGCTGTGACTGGCGCCCCTGCTGCTCGCAGATCACGGCCTCGCCCCTCATCGCTCGTCGATCACGTCCGCTTTTTCCCCGTTCGTTCCAGTGGGATTTCACAGCAAAAGAGACTGCTCGCAGTCTATTTGAAAACAAGAACCTGTTAAAGAACCTGAGTAGCCAAATTTTCCAGTTAAGCACCATCTTTTATAATAACCTTCTTAGCCTTACTTGGAAAAAACTAGGTTCCTATTAGCGGGTTTTTACCGTATATGCTTCTGAGTCTAAAATTGAAAAAAATACCAAATTGCACCAATGTTGCACTAAGGTCACAGGAACTGTCCCGTTTCGGGGGAGGGGGGTACTCCCGTAAATTTTGAATAAGTGTATGCCTCGAAGAGTCTTGAACCCTGTCCCACTTTAAGGATGAAACAAACAAGAATTGTCCAAACACGAAATATGACACCCCATTCAAGGAAAAACAATAACCAAACAACGGCTAACCACGCGCGGCAAAACACAAATCTCGATAAAATCGCTTTGTTGACAATTTTAGCGGAATTTTCTTTTTGTTTAGCTGGCCATTTACACACTGCAATTTTAGCCGATACAATTTACATATCCTATCTAAAGATCATAACGGAAACACAATGCTAACAGAGGCAAAACGATAACCGCCAAAACCATACCCTATCCCGCGGCACAAACATGTATATGGAAGTACCCCCACCTCTGGGTATTTAAAGTGGATATTGTTCTGCAATGTCCTCCATCAGGTGAAGCTCACCATGCCATCTTCTCCACATGAATTCCTTAAGGTATTCTTGTAGGAAGTTAGGATTTGTGTGATGAAATACAATGTATACGAGGCATCGAGGTGAATCTCTTTATGGGCACATTTCTTGATGACACATTAATTGTTAACATTTTCAAGGTAAAATGCGCACAGTTTTTGGCATTTTGGCTCTAATCTGGCTACAGGTTTTGCCATTTATCGCGATTGACTACCTAATTTACCCCGACCTGCTCTCGTGCTGGTCTCGTAGCTCAGTCGGTAGATCTAATTCGGAGGTCGTGGCTTCAATCCCCACTTGGTCAAATTTTCTTTGCCCCGTAAGGACTCCCAAATTTCCCTTAAAAGGGTAGTAACCCAGGGGGATTTATTGTATCGGCAGTATTGCCTTCTTCCAGCACCCAAATATTTATTTTAAAAAAATTATAATTTATATTACGGGTGCTTCGCGGTTCACATTCTATATCTTTATCATTTGAACCAATGAATACACCGAGCAGTAAAAAAAAATCGAAGGTTTCCGAGAAAGGTCCAATTTCTCGCATTTTACTTTGTTTTTACAAATCAAAGGAAAGAAAGTCAATTAAGCTTTCGCTAAAATGCATGCGATCAAAAACCATTTCCCATTTGAGTTTTGGAATGTAATTTTTTTTTTGGATGACAAACTGTAGTTACCAGTATACATCTTGTATTACGGAGGACAGTAAGGAAATTAACCAATGTTTTTTAAAACACTTGCACACAGCCATTGTTTTGCTTCATTTTGTCGGACAAATATCTCGAAACAGTTGTATCCTATAAAGTGGATTTACAAAGCTACGGAACCTAATACGATCTACATTTTCAACCGTCACCACCATTTAGTACACCAGCGTTGAAGACTACATCATCGGAAAATGAAATTTCCTTACTCGCGGTCCAATGGGAACAAACAGTGTTAGAATCGTTTTGACGTTTACTAAAAACACGCGCTTGATATAGAATGAAATAGAAATCAAAACTTTATGAGTGCGGCTGGAAGTATTGCGAGTTCACTCTACCGACGTCCCGTTTGCCGTCATGTCTCAAACTGGAGGTTTTTAACCCTTTAAATAGTCGAATTGTGTGCTCTTTATCGACAGACGGTGACACTTTTTTTTAAAGAATAATGACAGCGGCGGCGGAAAAAAAGTTAAAATGCCATTCATTGTCCAATGAAATAAGCTTCCAAAGCACAGATAATAAAACCAAATATAACCTAACCTTTGAAAAGGGTGTAGTAAGTCTCCAACGCAATAAACATCGTGCGTTGTATATCTCATAATTTTGATGTACTGTAAGTGAACACAGATCCTTAATTCTCACACCACATCTATCTCCGGAAAAGTAACAGGCAAAGTCAATAGGTTGAATATACTTGAAAAACTAGAGAGGGTAAAGGACCGTGCACTTAGGTATGACATGTATTTATAGCAAAGACCCTTCATTAAGAAAGAATGCTCAATTTGATTGGTTTACAAAACACATTAAAGGGTCGTCTCACCCAAGATATGTTAATTACGATAGACAGATGTTTTCAAAAGAAGACACCCACCACTACAGATAATTCATTTCAAGTAAAGAACACGCATCGTAATTAAAGGGGCACAAATATGCTTTGATACCTAAAGTAAGATGTACAAAACATGGTCTAAGGTCTCTTCGTTACTTCGCCGCTATAAGGACTTGGAATTCGCTGCCGGAGACGATACGCGCTATGGCCGGCACAAGAGAAATTTAAAACTGGATTCCAGACACGCAATTTACATGTAAATTATGAGGTAATCATATTACTTATTAGAGTTTTATATCTTTTATCGTGGAATAAACCCTTCCCACCGGGGGGGCAATGAATTATCGGCCAAGTATCAGTGAAGTATCGGTGAAGTGTCGGTCAAGTATCGGTGAAGTGTCGGTCAAGTATCGGTGAAGTGTCGGTCAAGTATCGGTGAAGTACCGGTGAAGTATCGGTCATGTATCGGTCAAGTATCGGTCATGTATCGGTCAAGTATCGGTGAAGTATCGGTCATGTATCGGTCAAGTATCGGTCATGTATCGGTCAAGTATCGGTCATGTATCGGTCAAGTATCGGTCATGTATCGGTCAAGTATCGGTCATGTATCGGTCGAGTATCGATGGTTTAAGACTATATCGGTCGACACATTTATCGGTCGACTGTCGGCCGATACATCGGTCGACTATCGACCGATAGTCGGTCGACAGTCGACCGATAGTCGGTCGATTGTCGACCGATAGTCGACCGATAGTCGACCGATATATTGGTCGACTGTCGCCCGATATGTCGACCGAGTCCACCTATAGTACACATGATCCGACACCTTATTAACCAAGTGCAAGGGCCATACTAAGAGAATATTGGCCCAAGGTCTTGACAGTACAAACCATTAGTGCAGCGAGGTCTGTACAGAAAAGTCCAAGGGCCAATATTCTCCCAGCATGACAGAAAAGATTCTTACAGATAGATGCAAGCCAAGTTTATTGTTTCTCTTTGGCAAGCCATTAAAAAACTTAATTGCATGTGGGATCATTCAGGACATTACCCGGTCCAATACTTAGAAAATATTGGACAGGCAATGGAGCAATCTGATTATTTGATTTTAGTTACTGGCCCTGACATGTTGAGAGAATTTAAATCGTATCATTATCATTAAGATCATTAGCGTTCTTGATTTTAGGTAAGCGGCAGGAAAATGTGAAAAAGGAACAGATAAAATTGAAAAAGAACGCTTCGTTTTTAAACCATTCTAGTATTCTCCAACCACTATAAATGAAATGAACTGACCTGAGGCATCCAGAAGTCTGAACAGCTTTACTGCTGCGGTTCTGCATGTATGGCCATAGCTAACAGTTGCCTCGTCTGCATACAAAGGAGAAAATACCCCATCCTATTAAAATAAAGAAAGCAAGATATGTTACACTAAAAGTAGCTAGAATACAACTGGCCCCAAAATATTCATACACACCTTCCATTGCTCAAGTACATGAAACTTGTTTCGATTGACATGTAGAGCTCGTGCACATCCAACACAAAAGTACTGGCGAGGGCCACAGTACTCACATCTTGTTGTAGCGATACTCTTTTGACAGTTCACACAGTTCACATTGTCTGGGAGATGCTGTTCTTCAATGTACGAATTCAGCAACTTTTCCCGTACCTTTTCCCAGTTAGCAGAGATACTCAAAACGCGATTTTGCTGTTGAGTTGAGAGTTCCTGCTTATCGAGATCGCCAAGAGGGACATCTTGTTCTACTGGACTGTTGGTGTCCTGACTATTTTCCTCCGTACTCTTATGAGGCTGCTTCCCAAGATCCACTCTCAGCGGAATCGATACGGTGGTTTTCTTTCCATCGCGCCCAATATTCTTCACATCTAAGAAAACGGGCTTTAACCGACGCATTTCGTAGCGATCACCTTGGCTCGTCCACCGAAGAGTGAAGGATCAGATTGGTCGAAATGTTTATGCATATCTAATGAGCTACTAGGAAGACTTAGATGATCATTTAGGACGGCTTGAACCCAATGATCTAAATTTAGATTACGTGGGTGTTAGCCATTTAGATTGTGTAAGTAGGGTGCATTGCAACTTAATTTGTCATCCGACTTCACTTAAATATTTATGATTCTGTTATTCCCGCTCTTCGAAAGCACTGTTATGAAAATAGTTTGTTGTTATAGAACAATTGAGAACAATACAACTTCAACTGTGAAGAAAATTAAAATTTTACAGTCTTCGTTGTTTTTCAGTTTTCTTTTAGTACTTTTGTTTGGATCAACAAATTTCTTCAGGGTGTAGCTGACAAATCTTTTTATTTCCTTTTACTTTTTGCGAAAAAAATTGTTTCAGTTCTAAAACTTATGGAAGCAGAAAGAAACCTAACTTTACTAAACCTGCTGTTAGTCGAAGAAGGATCTTCACGACCCGTGCCAGACCTTTCTGGCGCACTTTCGTCATCTTCGGCTCCAGACTTCCAACGCCCGCATGTTTTAAAATTCAAGATGGCCGCTAAAGAATACATTTCTTTTGTGACAATAATTTCAAGGTAAAATTATATTTCAGACTCCATCTGTCTCTAATTTAATATGTATCTCTTTCGGTGCAGCTTGCCTCGAGTCTAACTTAATTTGTAATTTTATCTTAAGTAAATAAATGCTTGCAGCGGTTGTAAAATCCCACCCGGCGTAATTTGAAATTCTAATTTTACCAGAGGAATCAAGTATTATTTATTTAGTTGTCTCTTTTAATCCTGTCGCCAAATAGAACCTTGACACTTCGTCAAGGTGAAGGTTTCAATAGCTTTAAAACTCGTGTAGTGATAATTACCAACGAAATATTCATCAAGAAGGTTCTGAAAAGGACGAATGCGTATTTTATCTCCCAGTCAGATGTGCATTGTAGCTCATCAGGAGCCTTTTGAGTTCGATAATTAGTTTCTGAATTTTTATCAGTGTGGGTTGTACCATTTCTAGGCAACTGAAATTAATGGATGGCATAAAGCTATATCATATGTAAATACAGTTAATGACTAACACCTCACATTTTGGCGACTTTTTTGGCATTTTTTAAGTGCGCCAAGTTTTAAAAGCTCCTCTCACGTTTCTCGGAAAATATCAATAAAATTAAGAATTTTAAAAAAAGTGGAAAAGTATTTTCAAACCCGAACATGCACCGATAAAATTTTTAAAATGGAGATAAACTACCATTTATTATGAAAGATTGATGGACTCAAATGTCTTATTTCTATTATTCCTCTTTGAACTTCGTGTGGCAAATACTAGGAAAAGAAACAGGAAACATCATACTAATCTTGAATAAAACTACCATCATGGTTTTCATTATGATTAGCGGAAAACACAGGGAAGGTAAATTCATCCAGCAGAAAGCCGAATCCGCTTTTCCAAGAGGCGCATACAGAAGTAATTAACACAAAATAAATTTGAACCAATCGTAGCTTCTACAATTGAACAAACAGATTACAGATAGAACTGAAAAACATATATAGCGTTAGTCAATATCTTTGACAAATGAGCTTTTCCTGGGCAGCTTAAAAGGGTTGTCAGCTTTCATTGAAAAAACATCTGCTTCACGTTAATGGGTGTTTTGAACATTTAAAATTCATCCGACAATAACACTTGGCCAGTTTACCGTCGGTTACCATGATGAGAAATCATTGAAAACACTGGGAGCGGTTCTTTTGTAATGGATGATTACATTGCCACAAAAGTTAGCGTTTCTGTAAGAAATGCTATCAGCGTTAATTCTACCAAAAGCCATCAGCTTGAAAAGCAGGTCAGAAACTTAGAGGCCGAAAGAGATATGCGTCTGTTAAATTTGCAAATGAAGAAAGACGAAATGTTTCTTAGCTCCCCGACTTCTCAGCGGAGGAAGATTCTGGTCAAGTCTCCAAGCACTACTGACGGCATAAGGGCTGGAACACCATCTTCACAACAAGAGATTTTAGATCTAAACACAGGTTTAAGCAAAGAAGACGAAGTTACTAGGCTTCAAAAAGCCCACAGTCTTCCACCACTGTATTTAGATCGAGCTGGGATTGTGGCGACGCCACCGCGGATTAGGAAAGCTAGAAATCTTCACCCTGGATCTTCCCTGATCCCTGCTTCTCCCTCCCGTCTCATGGAATCACCGAAACCGGAACACAAACTTTTAACAAGACAGTCGAGTTCTCCGCAAATGCTGTCAAGCTCTAATTCAACAACAAACGTGAACGAAGCACGGCGTGAAGAAAATTTGGAAAGTAAACAACAGTTTTCACCCGGGTTACAGCGAGCAAATCTTGTCGATTCATCTGTCCCGTTGAATTCACCTACCAGCCCGAAAGCTTTTAACTTTGATCTACCGAATAATCTTTCTCAGATCCCTCGACGACCTGCTACGGCTGCTTCTGTCAGAGATAGCGCTAGCAACAGCGGCGAAGTTCATCGAGGGTTGATATTGCTGCCTGTTTCTTCATCGAAAGAACAAACAAAGAATAGGGAACAGAAAAAGGCCAGCGTTTTTAATCGGCTTTATTCCAGTACTAAGAAACGGGATCGAAAACGGATAGGCTCGGATGATACAGCGCCTCAAGCACTCCATCTTCCGAACGGGAAATTGAATGCGAAGTTAGAAACGAGACGACGGTCGGTATCGCTGTCAGATTTATCCGAAATCTGCGACAAACTGAAAACGTGTCGTTATTTGAGATCGAATAGTCAAAATGAAGACTTCTAATACGTCTGAACTTTCAATATAAGCAATTCATTTCATTAATGCATGTACCACAATTTCGCTTTCGCAACCCAAGTAGAAGTCACACCTCAAGTTATGTTTTTAAAGAATACAAATTTTTTTAAAACCAAAACGAACTTTTTCAAATATAAAAATCGATTTTGCTATAATTTCGCTTTTTCGGACAAATTGTATAGAACTTGATGAGACAAACACTGGAGTGAAATTTCACCCCTTTGACCTTAGTCCTGTCTTAATCACTACCAGCAAACAAGCCCGTCAAGCTTTGTGTTTTGTTAATTAAACCTTCGAGCACTTCATTTTAATCTATTGTTTATAGATTGTTATCCTTCTATCGAACTCGCTAATTATAAACACTATAATTGAAATGATAGACTATTCATGTAAAAGACAATGAAATATTAAATTCAGTGATAAATACATTGTTAACTTCGAGGAGGTCCGGTTTAAAATCAGCGGCAGAAGGTTTTCCAATTACATTCAGTACCTGTTCGTATTATTTTTTTTTTCGCGCTTTTCGAGAAATGAGCAGATATGATTGACAGATTACACTCCATATGATTGGTTTCAAAGTGTTTGCATATCAAAGGCATGTTTACACAAGCGGATGCAAGTATAATCCTTTTGTAATAATATTTGAACAAAATGACCTTTACATCAAAAACATGAAAAGGAAGAAGTTTGTTGGAGTAGATAACTTGACAGGCTCGTGTCGAATAAAAATAGTGAGCACCTTTTCTTAAGAAATGTATATTTACAACTTAAGTTTTGCCGTAAGACTCAATCAACCATGAGCCGAGGTGCGACTCAATCAACCATGATGAAAACCAATTTGAAGTGCTCCGCTGTAAAGGAGAGAAAAATAAACAATTAGAAATGGAGAACAAAGGAAGTTTAGGTTTATTAGTGAAACAAGAGCAGTTAGAATTTATTTATTTTTTTTAGTCTTACCATTGCTGTTCAATACGCCTGAGTTTGCAACCTCAATGTCGCACGGAGAGGGTTGGTGTATTCATTGAGATCACAAGTCAGCCATTCTTCCCTAATTTAAAATCCTTGCTGAAAATTCAAACTGATCATGTCTGAGTCTTCACATGAAAATTTCATCTTTGACGGGGCTTATCAAGTATCCCATATCTAATCTCGAACCCAGATCCTTCCGTGTAACTGTAACTAAAATCGCTTGGTCGTGATGGACTAAATCGATAGCTGACACATTGACAAGCTGACTAACTGATTTGCTGACAAGTGGACTTGTGGAATAGCGGACCAGCAGACTTGCAATAATTGTCTTAATGAGTAGACAATCAAAACATCGCTGCTTTTAAACTTTTAATGCGCTCTCATTGATATTTCATGAAAGTTTCCAACACTTATTGGTGAGATTCACTTGTTATTTATCAAACTTCCTATTACAGACCAGGTTAATCATATAACAGTTTGTGCAGTTTCTCAGAAATTAGGGCGTAAAACAACACACGTTCCAGACCTCAACTCGTTCCGCAAACTTCTGCACGATTTACTTATTTATCGGTTTATTCATTTGTTTATTTGCAAGTTATAGATATCCTAGATTGTCCAAAGCTTTCTTTAACAAGCGTTTAAGTGTAACCGACTGAATTGCGTCGAAGTACATGTATTACTGAAAATTTATTAACTACATCTGTCTGTATCTTTATGCAAATTTTGAATTTATGGTATTACAATCGTTTTCTTTACGCTTCATTTCCAGCTTGATCAACAAAACAAACGAACAAAAAGATAGTTAACAAGTAGCATTCACATAGTTTTCTTATCATGCAGGAAAGTCCAAAGGGTGTTCTATGTAAACAAGGGCTAACTTTAATTATTTTATTATTCTACCGGGGGTCTGAGTTTAAAGTCACTACAGCAAAGACGTCATGACGAATCGACATTAGTTTCATGGCTGCACCCTCGTTCCTTCCGGGCAAGTGGCGCTCGCTATGCTCTTTCCATTTTTCTTGCGGATAGCTTTTATTTTTCCTTCTGATACATATTTTTACTTACGTATTATTTTATCTGTTAATATTCTTTCCTTGTCCCCCAATCCCTCAGATTGCTATGGATTCTGGCATGAGTGGCCACTTACCTCAAGAGAGATCTGGTGATGAAGAAGTACCTTTAATATCTTTGAGTCCAGACCTTGATCGCCGCCAGTGAGCCAAAGCACTGAGTCAGCTGTCTCACCAGTCGCAAGGCAATAATGTCTATGATATAGGACATGATGAGGTATCCGTAACTATGACAACGACGTCTAAACAAAAAATGTACTTTTCTTTTCTACTTTCGTGTGCATGCACTAAAATGGGAAATAAGATAAATAATTTAAAGTCATGAAGGAGTCATCTCCACGGATCTATTTTACAACCTGAACGAATCATAAATTAGGGACATCTTGCAGTCAGGACGTCAACGCCAAGGGAGACATCGAATAAATAAATGAATTGATATTTTTAGAATTTCGCGAATGGCTGGACTTGAATTGTCTCGAGAGGGAGCAGAGTTGAGTTTCAAATAAAAACTTTCGCTATCGTGCTCAGAATACGCAAATTTTGGTGATTTCACATCACCTGGGTTAGCAGATGCCTTCTTTGCAAGTCTTTCCTCGACAATTCTCCAACTTTAAGAACTGCTGTCCGTTTCTGTAAATAAGCCTTGGGAACAGGTCGAGATCAAATTTTTTAACGGAAAGGCCTTTAGCATAAAGCAGCCATAGAATTTCGCCTCCATTTCTTTGTACTAAAGCCTTGGTTTTATTGTTTTTGCTTTGTTTTGTTATTTGTTTATTTATTTGTTTATCTGCTATGTTGTTCTGAAGATATTAATCTGTTGGATAAGTTGGGAAGAAGTCCACTTCACAATGCCATATTGGGACGTCACGTGAAGATCATGGAGATGCTCTTTGGGGCTGGGGCCAAAATATATCTTCTGGATGAGAGCCAAGATTCACCGCTTCACACCGCAGTTCGAACTGGAGACGAGAACTTTGTCAGAGTACGTCTTGTCACTTTATAAGTCGATCAGTCAAACAAAGCACAATCAAATCAAATCAGTTAATTAAACACAAGGCAGATGGGTTAATTTTAAATTGCTTAATCAGTAAAGCCTACCTCGATTTACGATTAAAATTTCAGACTTTACTCCGAGTTGGTCGATGTGATGCAAACACCAGAGGACATAGTTCAGGAACCGCTCTTCACATCGCTGCTGATATGGACAAAGTGGCCATATGCAGGATATTGGTTAGTATTATTAATTATCTCACACATATTGAACGAACGACTGTGAAAATACATCGTTTGTCCAATCAGAAACACGAGCCATAGTACTTCATAAAAGAGGGCAACAAATGGCCTCCAATCTTTGAAATGTGTCGGTCAGCAGCACGAATGAAATAAAAACATCATACTATAGAAAGAACATGGACGATTTTTAAATTTTTTTTCATGCGCTGCACTCGTTTGTTTTTAGGTGCATCGCAACTCGTGAATAAAAATCGCTCGGGTGCATTTTTCATAGAATAATCTCTATTTCTCCCTTACATTTTTCTTTCATGAAAGCCCTTCTACAATGACGCACACCTTGCGGACCTCAATATCTAAACGTTTTATCCTCTCTGCTTGAGAGGGACTTTAAAGAATCGATGGCAATGTTTGAGAAGAAGTCAGTCTCCCTGATCTGTTTGTCCAGGCAAGTCAACTTCTCGAAGCGAATAAGATTTTTTTAATATTCGACGAGCTATCTCAAAAAAAACTCACCATCTTTCTTATTGTGCGTATAAAGTTGATGAAGGTATTTTGGACGTCTCAAGCCTGACCCTGACAGTAAAAAGTCTTCAATTATGTCCTAAAGTTTAGGTTTTAAAAATTTTAAATCGTCATGCTTCAGGTTGTACAACTTTGTCTGGACAGCGGGGCCATCATTCGGCAAACAAAGGTAGAGTATATGTTATCCCACAATTAGCCATGAAAATCTGAAAAACACTTAGGAACAGGCAGAATCTAGATACTTTTGAAGAAAAGCGAACCGTTGATATACATCCTAATATGCAGTATAATTTTACTAAAACATGTTTAAACGTAATTAATTGATGCGAATGTGTACTAAAACAACGTCGGGTCGACGGACCGGGCGAACTTATTACACATTACGCTGACGTCACGGTAAAAGATGTAGATCTACGACCATGTGTCAGAGTGGCTGTTGGACATACATCCACTATGGAGCTGTTACTACAGGTAGCTGAGTCACTATAAGTATGAAAGAATCTTTTCTCGACAGTATATAATAGAAAAAACATGATTTTGACAAAACGACAGGAAACGCGCAGAAGTTTCTCCTTGGAGGGGAACTGTTTAAAAATTATTCTTAAAACATGCATACTGTTTAAGGTATTTAATAACTATGAAAGACCATATATTAGCCTCCCTCTCAGGCCTATTATAAACGTAACGTCTCAATGAGAAGGAGGAAAATTAATGGATTTGTGGTAGCATCACAAGAGGGTGCTCTCAGTGGCAAATCATAAAAATGAAAAAAATCAACCTGATCCAATCAAACTGAATAAGATGATCAAACATGATGCCTTCAATTTTGAGAAAACCCGCTGTAGATTCTATTCTATAGAATTCTCAACGGTGGAAACCTACTCATGATCTGCTTGATTCTAAGATGATGTCTCCGTCGTTTTGAGAATTCAACAATATTTTGAAAAGCATGCAGAGCGAGTCTTGTTCTTCTTTCAATATAGAAACGAGAGGCCTACCCGCTAGTAACTGAGAAGGAAATCACAGGCTTCACGCCAGTCTATTACGCCGCCAAGTATGGTCACTTTCGGGTAAAGGATATAAATATATAAAATATTACAATAATATGACAGGTAAATTCGAGCGATCAGAGACCTCATGCACATCTCTATTGTACATGCTGATATGTGTGTATTCGCATTAAAGTATCGCGAACAAACTCCTCCTTTTAAAACATCTCAACTACCATAGTGAAATAGAATTAAAACAATTGGTTCTTAAGTTAGCTTGCACTTTGCCTTTTGCAATTGGGAACTTAGTGAAAGTTCTCTCTACTGCGCCTCCAGCAACTTTTAAGCATTTTCATGGTTTCCTTAGAGGTAACGTCAGTCACTATTAATTTGAATGTTTTGAGTTCAATAGAACATTTTATTGTTCATGGAACGAAACAAGGCAGCTACTAGTGTGACATCAGATGAAATGGATACAGCTCTCCATGGCGCTGCCAGGCAAAATATCAAATGGGATGCTTGAATCTCAGGTAACTTTCAGGTAACTTTCACCCCCAAACCACACCCTCCCTCCCCGCTGTATTTCTTCAAGTCAGGTAATTTAGTGTTAACAACTGAGTTGAAAACGTAAATTAGCCACCGCAAAGGGTAAAAAAGCTGACTTTTCGAGCGTTAGCCCTTCGTCAGAGCGTCGTTCGTCTATCGCTGTGACGAAGGGCTAACGCTCGAAACGTCAGCTTTTTTACCCTTTACGGTGGCTAATTTGTGTTTTCAACTCAGTTGTTAACGCTAAATTACCTGCTATACTCTCCCACCGACGCAGCACCACAGTTTCTTTAGAAACTTACCCCTTTCTTCAAGTCAGCCAGACAGTTTGCTGGTACCCGTTAAAATCCCCAGGTGGAGAGATTCACAGTCAGATTGAATGTTTGATCCAAGTTTGTTTTCATCTTCAGATACGGCTGGAAAGAAATTGTCGAGGTAGTGCTGACAGGTCGCAAAACTCGCTCCACAAACTTGAAAGACAACCAAGGAAAAACATCTCTACAGTTCGCATGCGCAGAAGGCCATGATAGAGTGGTCGAGCTTTTGATTAAGCTTGGCGCTTGTGTGGAAAAAGTAAGGTTTCAGATAACGAGAAATCTGCTCTTTTTTTTTTCGAATAACACGAGTGCAGGGAACCTTTCGATAAAATCTTCGCATCCTCGCCTGTGCCATCCTCGCATGCCGGGGAGAGGTCACGGGAAAGGAGAAGTTCCAAGAGACAAATGACTCCCTCTCATATAGCAACTTAATTAAAATGATCTGTAATGACAAGGCTACGTATACTGAGCACAACTTTTAAAATCACCTGGCATGCTTCCATATTCCATCAAGAAGCTACTGTAAGATCCTATCTTAAAAAGTATTCGCCTTCCGCGTCCGTCATAAGTCCAAAAGTGCAACGAAACCACAGAAAAACTGAGAAAACATCAGTAACCGAAGCAAGAACACTTTCGAAAGTATTGCCTGAAAATCATTCGTGAAATATCTCTGCTGAGTTTATACGACACATATTGTTCACACGGGGTCGCCTCCGAAGGTTTTGGTTTTGAACGTTGTCTTTGGAAAAAGCAGAAAGACGGAGGCAGAGAGAGTACAGTTGGCGAAAGACGAGGGTATACTTATGTTTATATATTTGGTAATTTCCTGTGATGCATTAACTGGCACAGGAGCGCTGCATCAACAAAGAGAGAGCTTTAATTTTAACTCTGCAAAATGCTAGCTTTATCTGTGATACACTTTTAGGGATCACAATGACAGAACAGCTCTACATATTGCAGCCATGAGGGGCTCCAAGCGTTGTGTGCAGTGCATTTTACAAAATCATCCTCAGTGCATTAATCTCTTCGACAAGAATCAGGTACGTAGCTCTCAGAAGTAACAAAAATTTAACATCCGAAATTTTCAACCGATAAAAGGAGCCGAAAAGGTCTTTGCTGCTGGAGCGTAACATCTCTGAAGTCTTGCGCTTGTTCATCCCCGGAAACCATCACACCCTTCCCCCTACCACCACCCTCCACCTAAATGGACATTAAAGAGTTTTTGCCACAGTGAATGTCTAGTGAGTCCAAGGGAATCTCTTTAGTTTTATATTATTCTTAATGCCATCCCCACAGAATGTTACCCTTTCATATTTCTTTCTTATTTCACTTTCCGTGGCAATCCATATAATCTTCTAAATTATATCCTTTCAAAGCGAGTAAGAGATGGGGTAAGTTTTGAGCTCTCTATTTTGAAATAGAGAAAGATGTTTTTTTCTTAGTCCCACATACGTAAAAAGACGAAAAAACATATTTCTCTATATTCTTTAGTTTGTTGTTGACAGAAGAAAGTCTCGATATTCTCATCTTACACAATTGAAAAATAAAACAACGCAAGAATAAACCAAGGAAACTTATTTCCTGTCCATGCCAGACGTGAAGTAGCAGATGTTTTACTCAGGGACTCCGGATCCCATATTATTTCCCTCCACAGAGGCGTCTGAGCTCAATCCTGAAGATAACAAAAACAAAACGAAAAAGCAAAAATGATGTATTGAAGGAGTATGTTTGTCCTCTATTTAATTCACAGCTCATATTTTGATAGCTTTGCCTCTCTCACAGTACTGTGCTAAAGTATTATAAACAGAAATCGTCAAGTTTCCCATTTTGATCTCTTCCGGTCGGTTTACTGATATATTTCAGAGTTTTCCTGCGATATCTCGCTATCTAGTGCCCTCAACAAAAAATTCCACTGCGATTTGTGGTAGATCAAGAAATATGTCATCGTGATATATCGTCCTTAGTAAATATCGCGTCAGTAGTTTATCATCTAATCAAAGATTCATCACTGATCCCCGTCATCAATGAATCATTTAACATAACAGGTGCAAGTGTTACTTGCCATGGCAGTTTTATGGTAAATCTGCACATGTCTAAAAGAACAAAGAGACACATACCATGAAATGGAGCTTTGGCGGATGTCTTTAGATAAAATTTGCCGGTTGGCTTCGTTTTGTCGGCGCCATATCCCATAGACGGGCACTCACTAACGCAAGCCGTGGTCTTTCCGTTCTCACAGTTTTTGTAATCATTGCAAGGATATGCTTCCCAGCTGAGGGGATTTTCCACTGATGTAGTGTAGTATCTCCAAGCCCTCTGATGGTCACACTTCACTGTCTTAGTGAATGCTAAAGATATAAAGCCATTTTCGAATAAGCTCCGAAAAATTTCAGTGGTTTAATCTACCATGTTCTGAGGTTGTCTCAAACAATACGTTCGTCGCCTAAATCTTTCTGACCCTGATGAAATATGCTCATGTTTCCAAGTTCGAACAACGTAGTCCAAAGCATTTATATTCCATGTACATATTGCTGCAAGGCTAAGTGTTTCGATTTTAATCACCCTTGTAGTTAAACCTACCTAACATAGCCATATGTCGTAGACAACCAGGCTGATCAATGCCTCCGTTCGGAAAAAAGTCCGCGTGACCGGCCTCATCGCGCATACCAAAACCGACAAAACCGCTGCTCGTGTGCATGTCGGTGTGTATAACGTCAACGTATTTAGCATCACTTGGGTCCAGGCGGAAGCGAGGGTCAGCAATGCCGTCAAAAGCAGGACCAGCTGGGTCCAGTCCTTGAGAGGAAACAATGGTTAAATCTGCACTGGGCCACATCAGCCGGATCTCATTCTAGTTTCTTTTTTTAAGAATGGAGCTAATTCCGCAGCTCGCCCTGGATGGAATGCTGCTAGGCGATTGCTAGGCACTAAGGTGGTAGAAACTCGCTCATCAAAGATCAGAAAAAAAATCTTTCATGATGTGGAAAGCCTTACACCGGATGGCACTAAAATATTTAGGATCGAAATTTGTTCGTCTCCATAACCTGATTGCTTATCATTTAGGAACAAACTAGCTCTTTCTCAACCGAGCACTGCATTTCACAAGCTTCTATGTCTCCTCCATTGTACCCCTTTATACTCCTGGTTGGAGAAAGACTCTGAGAGAAAATTGTCTTTCCCAAAAACACATCAGAATGGCTCACCCAGGTCTCCAACCCCGGACCTGCAATATATACGTTATAATTGTGTTTCTTTACCTGTAATACGACCGAGTGTCATTCGAGCTTTCTCCTTTAAATACTTCCCGGCAAACCCTGCAGTTTGTCCACCAAGGCTAAATCCCACAATATAGAACATTTTAGCCGAGTCAGGTGACCCTGAAGCGCTCTTAATCAAGAACCTTATCAGCTCTGCTACCTGAGCCCCAACGAGCTGGGTATTGCCTACAGATTGTCCATAGAGTGTTTTTGCTCCTCCAGACCAGTCCACCAAAATCACATTGCAGTCTTCTCGTCGTAAAAGGGCATCTTTCATTTCAATGACCCAGTCCTTGGTTGATTTTCCTAGATTTTATAAAAAATGTTGAAAAATTTGGTAGTTAAAATCTCATCTGTACATATACTTTATTTTCTCTGTAAAACGCATCAAGGGCCTGTAAACACCCTGTTTCGGACATAAGAGATTTTAAAAAGAGCGTAAGCCAATCATGGCCCCCCTCCTCGGTGCTTGAGCCGCAAACAGGCACTCACCTCTCCAGCCGTGAATCACGAAGATTGTTCGCCGCGCGATATCAAATTTTGGGGCCTTCAATTTATCTGCATCGTAATCATTTACTCTTCCACGCCCGTTCCTGGTGTACATGTCAAATGTTGTGCCAACAACACTTGGCTCTTGTGGCAGACTAGGTTTAATCGGAATCAGGCCCCACCGAACATTGGGTTGTTTATTGAAGCAGCCGTACTTTTCGTAGCAGATTTTGGAAGGGCTATTAAACAGGAAACCTGTAAATCGGAAAAATTTTAAAAGCATTACCTGTAAGTTGTCAATTCATTCCTCTCATTATTTGCTCCAATCTACGAGAGGAAAAAACGATAAAGAAAGAGAACTCTTACGTCTGACTGGGGTTTCCGTCTGATTCTTTGCAACCCAGGAAAAAACTCTAAATTCGACCACTGTCAGTAAGAAGACACACAAACTAAGTGCATTCATCCTCACTGGATCTCCCACAAAAAGGATTAATCGTTCTTGGCTTCTACGTCTTCTTAGCCTTAAAACAATTTTGCGCTGGAAGTTCTTTTATTCACGTCTGATTTGTATGAGCTCATTTATTAGCCGCAGGTGTTGTCTGAACCATTACCTGGTTTTCATTATGATAACACAATACTTTACCAGGGGCGGTCAACAACCTGTAACCCTTCTTTTCTTCTGTTCCTGAACACTGCGCTGCATCTGGCCGCCATTCATGGTCACACACACGTTGTGTTATGTTTGTTGTCGCATTCTGAACAGCAAATCCTCATGAACAAGAAGTATCACAATGTATTGGATACAACCATAAATGCTGAGAGGAAGAATGTTGCACTTGCGATAGCGTGTCACAACAGGTCAGGAAGAAATTAAGAAATTAAGAATTTGCGCCTCGAGCTACTCTTACGCATTTTTCGTGCTCTCCAAACTTCCCGCGTGCATCTATAACTCGATATACGCACAGCTAAAAGCATGAGCAAATTCTTTTATAACAGAACGACAACAAGGCTCTGCGCGAATGTGCCAGATAGAGTGCAAAATTCTCACAACGCACAAAAAAAAAGGAAACAAACGTCCCTATTGGCTGGTCAAAAACACGCCACATTTTATACTTTAAGTTTGCGCAAGAACATTTGATCCAGTTAACCGATAACTGTGAATGAAAAGCTCAAAATTACAGGGAAAATGGAGAAAATCAAAGCCAAATGAACTCAAGTTTCACTAAAAAATGTTGTAAAAGTCAAAGACCCGAAGTTATCAAGGGTTTTGATTGTTCAAAATAATGTTTACGCTGTCGTGCACGGTGCAATTGGAGAAGACAGACTGCAGGAAACTTGCCAAAAAGTACTCACGTCATCTTGTTTAGGCACGGGCGTGCGTAAATAAAGATTTTGTTCATAGCGGCTCAATAGGACTTATATAGGGCAAGCACGCGCGCTATGTTATAAGGATATGTTTTTTCTTTTTTTTTAATTATTTATTGGAAAGCGCTCTAAAAACAACGAAAATATTAAGCTAAAAGGATTTTCATCTTTCCTGTCCCTTGTTATGTAATTCAGTAGGAAACAAAGTAACTGCAACCAAAAATAATACTATCTTTTTCAGAGATGGCGTGAAGTGCACCTCGTCTTCCTCAGGTCATATTGCACAGATGCAGAAGCTCGTGATAAAAATGCCAGAGGTCGCAACAGTAAGGAACTCAAATTCTTGTGTCTTTATTTCATATAACTACGTAGTAATCTCAGTGCAACTCTGCTGTAAATATGATCCTTGGGTAACTGAATTGTGTAGGTAATATTGACTGATCAGCTCACTTGTTTATCAACTGAATTACGCCGCCTGAATTGCCATAAGAATTTTTTTCAATCCACAATGACGGAAGTTTCAGTGCGATCATGGTCCTCGTACAATACGTCGCGAAATGCTGTCCTCTGTGTGTCACTACATACCAGATAACCGGCCACCGTGCGGGAAAGAAGCCCGCGATCCTCCCGGAAAGGTACAACGACTAGACGCGGAAGAACGGCAAAATCAATCCTCTGTCAAGTCAATAAAATGAAACTCGTTTACTCGTTCATGAGTTTTAAGGCAAAATATTTTAGCAGTTTGCATTAGAGAAATAACTTGCCGAGTTTCACTTAACACGGATTTATAGAAAATTATGGAGATGATGATGAAGAAAACACACCCCCAGACCTCCCCCCTGCATTTCATCCATTACTGAAGAGAATGGAGGAGCAGAAGAATAGGTACTATATTTAAGTCGGAGATTTTCTCTTAAAATGTAGAAATGAAAAAAGTGTGGATTGAGACATCTGGAGAACGGGGGAACCTTCTTGATTGCATACTTTCAACACTCCTCTTGCTATTTTACAAATTTTAACCACCAAGTTGGAAACAAAATTAGTGAATAGAATGATAGAATATTTGCAACTTCTCCCTTTTCCGGTGTCGTGGAAGTTTTCAGGGATGGAATGAACAGAAAGAAAGATTTTTTTATTGATACATCTATGAAATAATGTTATGATGCGTATGATGCGCAATGTGATACAAAACATTTTGATAATGAGCAACCTCTTCTAAAATTAAAACTATACAAAAAAATATCACATGTCAGAAATACATCGAATGTAAATCAAGGCGTGAAAGCTTTCTTCCAAAAGTAATGAAAAAAGCCACAACAAGGGGGTGTTTGTGCTTGTGATCCCTTCTTGTACAAAAAAATAAATGCATAACGAGAGAAAAAAATGAAGAAATATGGTGCACTCTTAAATTTCAAAAGAACACCAGTGTAGAACCCACCTGTCCTTTGCCTCTAAAAGACATTGCTGAAAATTATAACACGATTCTCTAACCCTGTGTTCGTCTCACACACTAGGATATGTGGAATCTACGAGCTGTTGCAGGAACAATCAAAGCTTCTCAAATCAATCAATCAACAGAAATAAACGGAGGAGTGGGGAAAAGGAAAATTAGTTTTCTAAAGATAAAGTGTGACCATGTGCGAAGTGTTTTTTTTTCTGACGGGTTATTTTTCTCCTACAACTTGACCAGGTGCCAGTAGTCACATTAAACGCTTCATTATTTCGTTCTAGGATATAACAGGGTAACAAAGCATCTTCGTACACCCTGATTGGTTGACAACCTATCATTTGCATCATTGTTCCATTAAAATCGCAGAAATTGACTCCCTATGGAGTGAATTAAATAGACCACAAGTCTCCCTGTTCACAAGCGTCTTTACGATTCACGCTGAACGACGTGTGGACTCGGCAGTTGGCTTTTAAAAGACATTTAGAATTTATCTGGAAACAAACGTAAACAACAATAAACGCAACATTTTATTTTTAATCTCTGTATCATCACGGTCAGTAATGGGATCCTGATCAAGTACTGAATGGATTGAACAGTCATCTTTATATCTTTTTCTTTTCATCTTTTAACATGTAATAATACATGCGTTTACTTACACAAACAGTTCTTGAAAGTCATTATCCATAACAACGAAGCAGTTTTTTTCTAAACCGAATTTTACTTGCCAGCTTTTAGATGTTAGTAGGGTGGTGTAAAAATGCCCATTTTAAAGAATTTTTTGTTGTCATGGTGACGCGACACGGAGGAAGAAAGAAGTAACATTCTTCTTTAATTTTTTTTTTCATGATAAAGTTAATTTGGTTTTGTGTCAATAAATGAGAGTTTTTTTGAAAGAACTAGTTTCAGGCTTTGAACCAATCTCGACTGGTTCATTCATGTTTGCTCGCGCTTGAATGAATTTATGTTTTAAAAGATCTTTCAGGTCTCATCGGCTGATCGATATTATTTCTTTACTTTCACAACCTTACTCTCACACCATTTTGCTTTATATGGTATAGAACTGTTCCAGGTCTTTTCACTTAATTTCCAAAAGCTCCATCGGTGCACAGAAGCTCGCATATTTTCCCAATGACTTGAAACGCAACGCAGTCGAAGTATTTAGCGCAATGACGAAAACATTCCAGGGGATCCTGGACGTTCACAAACTGAATTGCATGATTTTCAAAGGTAAAGTTGTCCATTAAAATGCTGTTGATGTAGATCAGCGGTATTTCCATTTGATTGCTCGCCATATTATTTAAAGCCATAAGCAGGAAAGCTGTCGCACAGCTGAGCCATGACAAGGCGAAAAATGAATTCATTTTACTCTGAAAAAGGTATCTTTTTTTCGATGTAGAATCAAGAAGGGTTTCTCTAAACCCACAATTGGCTTTTTTTTATCCCCCGCTTTGAATGACTCAGAAGATTTATAAAAAACAAGAATAAGGCTCACTTTAAGGACGTAAAAAGACGAAAAAACATATTTCTCTGTATTCTTTCATTTGTTATTGACAGAAGAAAGTCTCGATATTCTCATCTTACTCAATGGAAAAATAAAACAACGCAAGAATAAACCAAGGAAACGTATTTCCTATCCATGCCAGACGTGAAGTAGCAGATGTTTTACTCAGGGACTCCGGATCCCATATTATTTCCCTCCACAGAGGCGTCTGAGCTCAATCCTAAAGATAACAAAAACAAAACGAAGAAGCAAAAATGGTGTATTGAAGGAGTATGTTTGTCCTCTATTTAATTCACAGCTCATATTTTGATAGCTTTGCCTCTCTCACAGTACTGTGCTAAAGTATTATAAACGGAAATCGTCAAGTTTCCCATTTTGATCTTCCGATCGGTTTACTGATATATTTCAGAGTTTTCCTGCGATATCTTGCTATATAATGCCCTCAACAAAAACATTCCACAGCGATATGTGGTAGATCAAGAAATATGTCATCGTGATATATCGTCCTTAGTAAATATCGCGTCAGTAGTTTATCATCTAATCAAAGATTCATCACTGATCCCCGTCATTATTGAATCGTTTAATGATAAATCTGCACATGTCTAAAAGAACAAAGAGACACACATACCATGAAATGGAGCTTGGGCGGATGTCCCTAGATAAAATTTGCCGGTTGGTTTTGTTTTGTCGGCGCCATATCCCATAGACGGGCATTCACCAACGCAAGCCGTGGTCTTTCCGTTTTCACAGTTTTTGTAATCCTTGCAAGGACGTGCTTTCCAGCTGCGGGGGTTGTTCACTGATGCAATGTAGTACCTCCAAGCCCTCTGATGGTCACACTTCACTGTCTGAATGAACTCTAAAGAATATAAAGTCGTTTTCAAATGAGCTCTGAAAAAACTTTAATGGTTTCACCTGCCATGTTCTGAGGTTGTCTCATACGATACGTTTGTCGCCTCAATCTTTCTAACCCTGATGAAATATACCCAAGTTTCCAAGTTCGAACAACGTATTCCAAAGCATTTGTATTCCATGTATATGTTACTGCAAGGTTAAGTGTTTTGATTTTAATTACCCTTGTAGTTTAACCTACCCAGCTTAACCAAATGTCGTAGACAACCACGCTGATCAATGCCTCCGTTCGGAAAAAAGTCTGCGTGACCGGCCTCATCGCGCATACCGAAACCGACCAAACCGACTCTCTTGTGCATGTCGGTGTGTATAACGTCAACGTATTCAGCATCACTTGGGTCCAACCGGAAGCGAGGGTCAGTATTGCCGTCAAAATATGGACCAGCTGGGTCCAGTCCTTGAGAGGAAAGAATGGTTAAATCTGCATAGCCGGATCTCATTCTAGTTTCTTTTTAAAAATAGAGCTAATGCTGCAGCTCGCCCTCTGATGGAATGCTGCGATTGCTAGGCATTAGGGTGGCAGTAACTCGCTCATCAAAGATAAAGAAAAATCTTTCATGATGCGGAAAGCCTTACACGGGATGGCACTAAAATATTTAAGATCGAAATTTGTTCGTTTCCTAACCTGATTGCTTATCGTTTAGGAACACAGAGAGCAAACTAGCTCTTTCTCAACCGTGCACTGCATTTCACAAGCTTCTCTGTCTCCTCCATTGTACCCCTTTAAACTCCTGGGTGGAGAAAGACTCTTAGAGAAAAATGTCTTTTCCAAAAACACATTAGAATGGCTCAGCCAGGTTCTCTAATTGTGTTCAGTTTCTTTACCTGTAATGCGACCAAGTGTCATTCGGGCTTTCTCCTTTAAATAACTCCCAGCATACCCTGCAGTCTGCCCACCAAGGCTAAATCCCACAATATAGAACATTTTAGCTGAGTCAGGTGATCCTGAAGCACTCTTAATCAAGAACCTTATCAGCTCCGCTGTCTGAGCCCCAACGAGCCGGGTATTGCCCACAGATTGTCCATAAAGTGTTTTCGCTCCTCCAGACCAGTCCACCAAAATCACATTGCAGTCTTCTCGCTGTAAAAGGGCATCTTTCAATTCAATGGTCCAGCCCTTGGTTGCCTTTTCTAGATTTTATGAAAATGTTGGAAAATTTGGTAGTTAAAATCTCATCTGTACATATGCTTTAGTTTCTCCGTAAAAACACCCTGTTTCGGACGAAAAAGATTTTAAAAAGAGCGTAGGCCTATTATGATCTCCCTTCCTCGGTGCTCGAGCCACTGAACAGGCACTCACCTCTCCAGCCGTGAATCACAAAGATTGTTCGCCGCGCGATATCAAACTTTGGGGCCTTCAATTTATCTGCATCATAATCATTTACTCTTCCATGCCCGTTCCTAGTGTACATGTCAAATGTTGTGCCAACAACATTTGGATTTTGCGGCAGACTTGGTTGAATCCAAATCAAGCCCCACTGAACTTTAGGTTGTTTATTAAAGCAGCCGTACTTTTCATAGCAGACCTTCGAAGGGCCATTAAAAAGGAAACCTGTAGATAGGAAAAATGTAAGAAGAATTACTTGTAATTTTTCAATTCATTCCTCTCACTATTTGCTCCAATCTACGAGAGGAAAAAACGATAAAGAAAGAGAACTCTTACGTCTGACTGGGGTTTCCGTCTGATTCTTTGCGGCCCAGGAAAAAACTCTAAACTCGACCACTGTTAGCAAGCCAGTGAAGACACGCAAACTAAGTGCATTCATCTTTACTTGATCTCCCACAAAAAGGATTAATCGTTCTTGGATATTTTACTTCTACGTCTTCTTAGCCTTAAAGCAGTTTGCGCTGGAAGTTCTTTTATTCACGTCTGATTTGTATGAGCTCATTTATTAGCCGCAGGTGTTGTCTGAACCATTACGTGGTTTTCATTATAATAATAAAATATTTCACCAGGGGCGGTCAACAACCTGTAACCCTTCTTCTCCTCTGTTCCAGAACACTGCGCTGCATCTGACCGTCATTCATGGTCACACAGACATTGTGTCATGTTTGCTGTCGTATTCTGAACAGCAAATCCTCATGAACAAGAAGAATCACAATGTATTGGATTCCACCATAGATGCTGAGAGGAAGAATGTTGCACTTGCGATAGCGAGTCACAACAGGTCAGGAAGAAAGGAAATGTTTTTTCCTTTTTTAATTATGTATTTGAAAGCGCTCTAAAAACAACGAAAATATTAAACTAAAAGGATTTTCATCTTTCCTGTCCCTTGCCATGTAACTCAGTAGGAAACAAAGTAACTGCAACTTCATGGAAATAGCTGCAGGTTTAGAAATAATATTATCTTTTTCATAAATGGCGTGAAGTGCTCACCTCGTCTTCTTCAGGCCATATTGCGCAGATGCAGAAGCCCGTGATAAAAATGCCAGAGGTTGCAACAGTAAGGAAACTTAAATTCTTGTGTCTTTGTTTCATATAACTACGTGGTAACCTCAGTGTAACTCTGCTGTAAATATGATCCTTGGGTGACTGAATGGTGTAGGTAATATTGGGTATCACTGGAGTTATTAACTTCGCAAGTAAGTTACAATGAGTAACCTCAGTGTAACTCTGCTGTAAATATTATCTTTGGGTAACTGAATGGTGTAGGCAATGTTGGGTATCACTGGAGTTATTAACTTCGCCTTAATTGTGATTACTTGTAAAACTTCTTTCTTTCTTCTTAACAAATCACTCGCAGAATAAAAATCAGTACCTACTTCATCATTTCCATTTCCCATGCTTCGGACAAGTTGACTGTTTTTGACTCTGAAGTCTCAATGGCTATTAAGAAAATTTTCTTGTTTTTTGGTTGGCTGTTGTGTTTCTGTGTTTTGGGTTTATGATATTCAAGTGTTTTTACCCCTTAAATCTTTATTTTCAAAAAATGTTTAAATTTGCTACGTATAACGTTTTTGTTCCAATTTACAGCGCTTTATGGATCAGTGTATGACAAAGGAAGGAAACCCAGGTACTCTGCACGAGTATGTACAATGAAAACATCTGAGATCCTCCTGTGGAAACAAACTGCATCCATTTCAGACTATGCAGTCAGATTTATTAGATTACGAGTTATTGCAGGAACAATCAAAGCTTCTCAAATAGATCAATCAACAGAAATAAACAGAGGAGAAGGGAAAGGGAAATGTAGTTTTCTAGAGATGAACTGTGGTAAACCACGGAAGAAAAACGGGCACAAGAAGTGTTTCACTTTTTTCTTCTGTTGGGTTATTTTTCTCCAACAACTCGATTAGTTGTCAGTAGTTACATTGAACGCTTCATTGTTTCGTTTTATGGTATTACAGGGTAACAACAAATCTTCGTACGCGTACGCCTGATTGATTGACAACCTATCATTTGCATTATTGTTCCAATAAAATTGTAGAAATTGACTCCATATGGAGTGAATTATATAGATCACAAGCCTTCCTGTTCAGGAACGTCACTACGATTCACGCAGATCGGCGTGTGGGCTTAGCAGTTGGCTTTAAGGCATTTAGAATTTATCTGGAAACAAACGTAAAGAAACAAGTTTACTTTTAATCTCTGAATCATTACGGTCAGTAATGGTCTCTTGATCAAGTACTGAATGGATTGAAAAGCCATTATTACATCTTTTTCTTCTCATTTTTAACATGAAGTAATGCATGCGTTTATTTACACAAACAGTTCTTGTCATTATCCATAAGAACGAAGCAGTTTTTTTAAACCGAATTTTAATTGCCAGCTTTTAGATGTTAGAGGGGTGGTGCAAATACCAATGTTAAAGATGACTCTTTTTTTGTTGTTGACAAGGGGACGTGACACGGAGGAAGAAAGAAATAACATTCCTCTTTAATTTTTTGTTTTCACGATAAAGTTAATGTGGTTTCGTGTCAATGAGTTTTTGAAAGAATTTGTTTCAGGCTTTAATTTGAAGCAATCTCGAATGGTTCATTCATGTTTTTTTTAGCCCTTGAGTGAAGTTTTGTTTTAAAAGATCTTTGAATTCTCATCGGTTCCCTGTAATGATAACCTCACTGATCCATGTGGTTTCTTTTCTTTTCTTTTTTTTTCAACGTAGTATCAAGGACGGTCTCTCTAAACCCATGTTCAGCTTATAAAATCCGCCGTTAATTTTTAAAAAATTCAGAGGATTTGTAAAGCAAGAATATAGTTCACATTAAATATACAATTATACTGACCAATTTCTCTAAGGCGAGTGCGTTTCTCAACAGAGAAAAAACCTTGTATACATGAGAAAAGCAAATTACTAATGACACTTCTTCGTATGTGCACTTTTTTAAAATTTTTGACGAGAAAGAAAAAACTTGCCATTTGCGAAATTATTAGTGTTGTTTTTACCGTCATGAACGAGAAAAAATTTAAGGAAAGAGGAAACGAAACCTTAAATGAATTGACTGTTGGCAAATTTAATTCATTTCAAGTGGAATGAAAGCCTATTTAAGGTTCAAAAATCCAAAATTTTTTAGCTTCCGAAATCGACGCCAGAGAAACCATTGACTGAATTTTTAGGGAGCGCGCGAGAAGACACGCGTGTCCCTTGCAACTAACTCTTCCCTTACTCAAAGGTTATGTATTTTGAATAATGATTGTACTTGTGGAGAATTCTTTAATAAAAAATAATTCTGCCCTGGACTGTTTGGGGTAAGTTGTTGCATTCCGGCCGTGTTAACTACAATACTAATCGTCTTTTCCTGATTTCCTATTTCGCTTTTTAATTTTTTCGTTAGGCTTGTTGTTCTAAGAACTTAAAAAAAAAGAAAACATTGAAAAAAAAAAGGTTTCCCTTCATTTCTTGAAAAATGTAGTTTAAACTTATCTGCATTATTCGACTGTCAAAGCAAGACAATTACACCTCTCCCTTAAGTCTCACATTTGCGTCAAAATCTATTAAAGGAGTCCTCCTTCAACCCCCGTTCGCCGCTGAGAGCAACGAAACTTTCATTTTAAACAAGCAAATACAATTTAAGTGTTCTTGTTCATCTCTAAGATGAACATAAAGCTGCCAACTGTTATTACCTTAAACGAATGTGAATATATGAAAGTCATACATTTGAACTGCGGATGAAGACGTTAATATGAAAGCGATCTTCGCAGTAATAAACACTACTTGAGCAGTAGTGCGAAGATCACTTTCATATTCGAGCTATTAATTTCCTCACCAACTTATTTCTGATGAAGAAGTGTTGTTATCGTTCCTACACTGACATTCAATCGTTTTTCAAACTCCTGACGCAGGTGTACTTAGGATAAAAATGCTATTTGGAAATTATATTCTTGAAAGAAAATAAAATTCCACGAATTAGGATATGGAAAATAATCATGATAGATGTGAACGCTTGAACAATTTTGATTTATGTATGGTTCACTCCCGTAGGCTTAAGCATGCTATGATCTTGAGAGCGTGAGAAACCTCCGTATTCGTTACGGAAAAAATATAACAATTAATTGCCTGCAGTTGACAGCGTTTGCTCATGAAGGCAAGCGGAAACCCTATGATTTTCAATAATTAGCAATGTCTTATAATAAGCAGAGCTGAAATTTGAAGGGAAAGAAAACACGAACAAAACTGGTCTAATTATTGCATACTAGAAATTAGCGTATCATCGACCAGGAGGAAAACTGACAAACATCCAGATATGGTTTTGCAACATCTTCATCATAATGTGAATATCATGGTGACGATATTTAAAACTTTTTCATTTTTGCAATAACAGAGAGCATCTATTCAAGTTGACTATATTTTTTCTTAGAAAACACACTGGGAACTCCTTCCTACCATCTTATTCACTTGACGGCGTCATCAAAGGCATTTCCATCCTCAGGAATACATTAGAGAGTTTTTGTACATAAAAGTGGACCCAGAAAAAGGGACAGCGGCCTCTCTTTGTTAGGTTTTCTAACGGAAAATCTTTTGTTACCAACATGAAGACGATTTTTGAGGGATTTTGCATGACTGATAAATGGACTATTACCAGGTGGAATAAACCGTGAAAAGTTTTGTCAATCTGATTGGACGTAAATTCGATTAAAACAATAAAAAACATATCAGAAAGATAATTATAAAAAAATTAAATGGGTAAAATGAGATGCATACTGCGTGGATAAGCAGATTCACGGGATTTTAGAATAATTTGCTCGAAAAGGCAACAATCAAGGCAAAACAACATTTGTTCCTCGCCGAATTCTCAATAAGAGAAGGCCTGGGTTATTTTTCATTGTGCAATGAGGCTCAAAGCGTTCGCATCAGTTTCCGTCGCGCGCAGGCACTACAAAGGCACACTAATAAGCAATTATCACATGAGGCTGAGATATGATATCAGGAATTATCAAATCAGAGGTAGATAACACAGCAACGAGGTTTGAGAATTCATGACATCATGCGAAAAGTGAATTTTTTCAAACGAACCGAGAAAGAAGACATTTCGTCTAAGTTTACAGAAGTTTGAGAACACTACACAGACGGGGGGCTTGGAAACTAAGCAGACTTCGAACTCGAACTGATAACTGCAATATCTGCTGCAGATATTGGGTCACCATGTCAACTGCACACGCCATTGTATAAGTGAATGCTCTCGAAAAATCATATTTTATTTTTTTTTTATAGTAAGTCTAATGTATGAGGATTACCCGCACGCTCCACTTTTGGTGTAAAGGCACACTGAGCGCAAGCAAAATTTCAATTCAACATTTTATAACATTGTTGCATGCAACGCGTTGCACACGTTTGGCCACTTTGTAGCACAATGTTGGATCAAGGTTGAAAATGGTCAAATTTTTGTAGCAACATTTTGAGATGTTACAAGATGTTATGCGCGTTTGGCTAGCGCTTTTACAAATCTCACAACACAATTTCACAATGTTGTGAGATTTGTCCCCCCGTTCCAAATCCGCCGGCGGCTATGGACCCCCCCGTCCAAATCCGTTGGCGGATTTGGACCCTCCAACAAAACTGAGTGAAAACATCATCCTTAACGTTCTAGTAAAAATGGATGATACTTTACGTTCCAGTGCGTACTAAAGTACGTTTTTAATTCAAAACATGCGTATCGTTAATTCATACGAACTGGCAGCTGGAAATGACCCTTCGGATGTTTCTTTTGACCAAGGGAAAATGGGCAAGCATTTAGTTTAATGTTTGGAGGAAGGTCGTTTTTGAACCTCTTCCGCGATAGTCGAACACCGCTAGATTCAATAAGAGAAAAACTTGTGACACTTTGATTGTTTAATGCCCGAGTGTTGGGACGACATGGTACAGTACGGGTTGTGCGAGGAATGGTTACACATGAGCTGCGATGGATTTAAGACTGCCCCGGAGGGCGAGTGGCTCTGCATTGTCTGCAGATCATCAGACTCTGAACGTCTTCGTAATTGTTAAGGTGTTATTTCGAATCCCTCAACTGTTAATAATCGTTAAAATTAGGAAATAAGATTGAGTTCGATGTAATAGTCTCCACTTTTGTTAAGAAGTAGACATTAATGTTGATTTGCATCTGAAAGTAAGCTGAGAGTTCCAATAGTTCAGAATAGAAATATTTTTACTTATCATAGGCTTTACGAACGACTTATAGTAGGGGTAGTTTCTTCGTTCTTGTTCAGAAACTGTATCAAGTTATAATTTTAGAAAAACAGACTGAGTTATTTTTATGACTGGACGCAATAGTCACCACTATTGTTATGACGTTTCGTATCATTGTTGATTCGCATCGGAAGAAGCAAAGATTTATTGTAAAAATTTCAATGGTTCGAATGCAGTAGTTTGTTCACATCTAATTCTTGCGTATACTGTAAGACTCGCTATAATAAATGCGGCAGAATTGGAATGAAATGGCTGGTTTTTTTTTCAAAAAGCTTGCAAATAGAATTAGTCACCAAATATGATACAAACGATGCTAAAAAGGGAAAGTTTGGTGGGGGGTTCAAACCTGCAAAGGGGGGTCCAAGTCTAGCGGATTTGGACAGGGAGTCCAAATCCGCTGTGACACCGGGCTTTAACACATAAGCTACATAAGTGTGATTTCGGTTAGCCACTGAACTATTGACACCGCCATCTTTATCAAAATCAAGATGTTACGACCTTACGCTGGAAGTTAATGTCTACTGTACGGTATAATCTGACCGACAGAAAAACACTAAAACCTTACAAACTCAACTACTTTATTAAACAACGAGTGATATTGATAAGGAGCGACTCCTAAAGGCAGCACAGTACTTATCCTCCATAAACTTACTCAAGCCCACTACAGTCTATATCTTAGCTCACCACTGAGCCAAACTCACGGTTCCCTCCAACGTTTCTTGAAATGAGCAATCTTCCTCTGTAGCTCTCTCTCACGTACAGCTTTCTGAACAGTCGGTCACTCCTAACAATAACAACTACTACTACTTCATAAAGGAGTCCTCATATGCATTCACAAAGTGTTCTGGAACGTTCCAGAAGCTTACAAAAGAACTATTTAATTAGTAGTACGGAATAACTGCGTCACTTGATGAAATGTTCTAGAAAGTTCTATTATACGCATGTCAGCATGGCATGGCATGCCTTTCAGAGCAAATTTCAGGCTGTCTTCTTTTGTTTTCTTCTCTGTTTCCACGTATTCAACAAAGTCTCGGTTGCTGCTTGCATCCAACACTTCGATAATTTCCTAAAGCACACCTGGACGAAATTCTAGCCTTGAACGGCATCCTTTGAACCAGAAATCATAAGTTACAACTCTACTCAGCTCAGCTTCAACTTCCCTCTCTGTTTTTACATGTCCAAGAAAGCCTCGGTTGCTGCTTGCATCCAACACTCTGATATTATCCTCAAGCACACCTGGACAAAATTCTAACCCTGAACGGTATCCTTTGAACCAGGAACCACAAGTTACGACTCTAATGAACTTAAGCTTTCTTCTTTGTTATCACAGTCATGGACGCACAGACTCGGTTTCCTCTTCTATCGAATAATTCCATTTCCTCTTCAAGCAAATCTGGACGAATTTGTAACCCTGTATGACGCCTTTTCGACGTGAACGGAAATGTTACGACTTGAACCTAATAATTTTTTCTGAAACTGAACACATTCGGGCACGAATTAGCTATAAAGAACGATAAAGAAGAAGCTAGACGGCTCTAATGGGTGGTACCGTATAATTAACACAACTTTCCACTTCATGGTAATTCCCCTATAACCCCAAAACGTTTACTAGAAATGATCACATCAGCTTGCATGCTCACGGTCCCCTAAATTTGTACAGAAGTCACAAGGAAAACGCTATTTGAATTCTCAAACCGAATTCCAAATGATGCATGATAACATTTATGCTCGACTGGATATTTAAATTTTCCCATAACTGACGGCCGGGTCTACTTGCTGTTGGCCTATTAGAGGTCTTCTACGGCTTGTAGATGATGTCATTAACTTCCTATGTTTTGACATGAATACAGAATTGGTCTGTTTTCTTTAACAATTCATTAACCCTGAGTCTTTTCCATGAGTCTTTACAGCTCATATTAACAAATGTACATACCTGAGGTTACGGGGGTAACCTCAGGTTATTATGAAAGATACTAATTTACAAAAATAAAACACATTGACATACTTCCAGGTGCCAATAAGAGGCTAAGTTAGGACTCTCCCCACCCACTTCTGTTAAAATCACTTGCCTTTACCCGTGACATTAAAACAAACACAAAGATGATATACGAGATAAAAACCTTTTGCGATGTATGAAATGATCAAAAGCTACAAAAACCGATGCTTTCCATTAAACTCACCATTAAATTGGATTGCATTCTGGTGTAGAATAGTAGTAGTGCTATTAACATAGAGAGGCAAAGCAGCGGATAACTAACCGACCAAAACCTAACCAACGAAGTATCTGGGAAGCACAAGATATTCACGTCATTAACCTCAAAGAAGCAGTTACTGATCAAGTCTGCTACAAAACACATTCAATCATGCAAATCAATTGAGTTACTTCCTTGAATTGGATTAAGTACCATAGCTAGTGCCAGTAATTAAATCTTCGACTTTCTCTGCCCTAATATATCGCTGCATGAAGATTTGGTGTAAAACTTACACGTCATTACAACACTGTTGAAAAGAAGCCGTTGTGAGCCTCCTTCTCATTAATTTCTTTTCTTGTGTGTTTATTGACGCCTTTTGCACACTGTTACACAGAAGCATAGAGATCTTAGGCAAATTGCGATTGAGGGAAATTCGTGGTACAGCTGAGGCGGAAATTCTACTAAGTGATAAACTTAGTAAGTGATTTACTATTCCTAAAACGTGTTCAAATTCCAAACGGTTCCTCTCCTAACTTAACACCAAGTCACACAAAGCGTGACGCTTTCAAGAATTCATCGTTTACTTTTTATCGAGAAGTGAGCTAAGGAAGCATGTGGTAAATACGATAAGCAGGGCGTACCTGACTGGGGAATGGGCATCCCTTTTCTTGGCATGACAGATATGACAGATTTTAATAAACAAAAGATGAAACAAATTGACCTACTTCCAGGTGCCAATGAGAGGCTAAGATAGCCTAAGATTATCGAGAAGTGAGCTTAGGAAGCATGTGGTAAATACGATAAAAAGGGCGTACCTGACAAGGGAACGGGCTTCAATGAGGTTTCACTAACAGGTTCTAATAAACAAAAAATGAAACAAATTGATATACTTCCAGGTGCCAATGAGAGACTAAATTAGGACTCTCCCCACCCACATCTGTCAGTAAATGATTTACTATTCCTATAACGTGTTTAAATTCTAAACGGTTCCTCTCCTAACTTAAAGCCAAGTCACACAAAGCGTGACGCTTTCAGGAATTAATCGTTCACTTTTTCTCAAGAAGTGAGCTTAGGACACATGTGGTAAATACGGTAAACAAGGCGTACCTGACTGGGAAAGGCGCATCACTTGGATTGCCCTGGCAAAGTCTAATAAACAAAAAATTAAACAAATTGATATACTGACTGGGGAAGGTGCTTCCCTGAGATGACACTGACAGATTCTAGTAAATTAAAAATGGAAGAAACTGACATACTTCCAGGTGCCAATGAGAGGCTAAGATAGGACTCTCCCCACCCACATCTATTAGTAAGTGATTTACTATTCCTATAACGTGCTCAAATTCCAAACGGTTCCTCTCGTAACTTGATGCCAAGTCACACGAAGCGTGACGCTTTCAGGAATTAATCGTTTGCTTTTTCTCGAGAAGTGAGCTTAGGACGTATGTGGTAAATACGGTAAACAGGGCGTACCTGACTGGGGAAAGAACTCCTCTGAGATTTCACTGACAAATTCTAATAAACAAAAGATGAAACAAACTGTCATACTTCCAGGCGCCAATGAGAGTTAGGACTCTCCCCACCCACATTTGTTAAAATCAGTTGCCTTTACCCGCGACATTAAAACAAGCATAAAGATGTATGAAATGGTCTTAGGCTACAAAATAAACGCTTTCCATTCTACTCACCGAATGATGAAAGGGATCTGAAATGTATTAGTAATTGCATTCCCTCAACAACGAGGCAAAAGAAAGCACTCACTATCAGAAACACGATGAATGACTGAAAACCTAGGAAGCATAAGATATTCACGTCATTTACCACAAAGAAGCAGTTACTAATCAACTCTCCTACTAAACACATTCCATCATGAAAACCAATTGATTTACCTCCTTGGATTGGTGTGTTTATTGACGCCTTTTTTTAAGCTGCTTCACGGAGGCATGGAAATCATTAGCAAATTGCGATTGAGGGAAATCCGTGGTGCAACTGAGGCGGAAAATTTACCAAGTGATAAACCATCGAATATCCCACGAATACTTGCATGCAGGATATGTACTCGTTGTGCAACGCTTCCCATCAAAAATAATCGACATGACGCTCTAATAAAGCCGTTCGACTTAACAATAAGTTAAAAACGCTAATAAATAACATCATAGAAGAAAAAAATCCTCATCAATTGTTTTAACATACTATCACATTAAGAGGAGACATTTTACTCACTGCCCGTTTATTGGAAAGCTACGCTGAATAGAAATTGAATACTTCCAAACACACAAAATACCCGAGCTTTTCATGTTACACGTATTTTTTCATTCAAACAAAGGTGTTTTACAAGGATTTGCAGCCCTGACAACACACGCGAAAAAATACGATATTCTTTCACGTGTGTTTGATATCGCCAATTAGCTGCTGACACGTCACTAGCCATTCGCGCCACTTGGTCAGGTTGACGAATGAACGGCCGCCATTCTCAATCTATGGTTGTTTTGTCGGAATTTTCTCGGATTATGTCTGTTAAAGCTATTATGATTTAATTTCTTCTGAGTTTTAGTCTGGGTTTTTTAGAGTGTTCCGAGTGGTACTTAGTTTACGATTCTTTAAAGGAATGCAATTCCATGGTTGTGAACAGGTAACAGGTAACCGTTGACTAAAAGTTCTGCCTCAGCTTTAAAAAAGGAGTTGTATTCTGAAGCATACAGCAAGTTTAAGCTCTTACATTTATGCATATCCTAACACAAAACACACTTTCCAACATGTATTGCAAGCACAATTATCGTTCAACTCCCCTTAAACGATACAAAAAATGAAGTATACTCACTCGTCTTTATAAAACTCGTCTTTTCCTCGTCCTCTGGTTGGTCAAATTGGGTTGTTTCCTCAGAAGATGGTTCAACTGGGGGATTTAAGGATGAGAACTCCTTTTCTGTTGGCTTTATATCTTGTGTAAAACTTCCTGCGTCTAGAAAATTATCGTATCCTTTATGCACTACACAACAGTGCCTACGATCTTTTGAATTTAGCAGGAAATGAGTAATAGGAAAATGATAATTCTGAGACAGCCTGAAAGACGGCTCGAGACAATTTTTGGGTTCTACCAGTTTTGACCGGTTTTTCCCAGTTCTGACTAGTTCTAAGACAGCGCTACAGCAAACCACAATCTAGGTGTGTCAAGTTGTCTGTCATGCTGTCCCAGGCGGACTCAAATATTGTCTTGAGATTTTCTCTGAATTGCTATTTACTCGAACGAATCCATGCTTCAGGCCATCGTTCAGATAGTACAGGACGGACTCGTCTTCAATCACTACCAAACTCTCGATATTGTAAACCTCCATTGACCATACTGAATCAATCGCTCTTCTTTGACCACCTTCCAGCTCACCAGGGGCGTAGAGGTATCTCACATTCTTTGAGAGGTCAAGTCTCCTTCAAGCCGACAGGTGTTGAACAAGATCTTGAACTCTTTGCGTCAACCGACTTGTCTTTGAGTGCATCAGCAGGTTTCTTTCCCATTCAGTAGATCTCTTTCCAGATGTGAAGTTCATCTTCTTATTGCACTGGTAACTCAAGAGGCGTTCACCCAAAACCCGGTTGAATCATTCGAAGATTCCTTAATCTCTGTGAACGTCTGCATTCCACCTTTTTGTTCTCACATCATTCTTTTCAATCGCTCCTGTGACATCGCCCATGAACTCACATGCCCAGGATCAACCTGAAAGACCTTCGGCCATCTCAGTGTTCCTCGCTCATAGATTGTTTGAAAAGCTATTGAGACTTCAGAAGCATCCTTTGAAGTGAGAGGCTTACCCACTTTGAATCTACGTCGCTCGAGTTTATGGTGAAGGTGTATGGCTTTGATCTGAGTCTATGGTCTATGTTCCTGAGGCTGAATGACTCCCACAACTCTCCCTTAGTGAGGAATAAGTAGTTCTTTATCCCCTTCTTCCTCGCCATATCCATGAGCACACAATGAGTAATCTTGACTTTAGGTTTTCAATTCCCAAGGATCAGATCAATGCGGTCCTTCTTCTTCAAGTTAAAGCTTATGGTAGCTTCTGCTACCATGATTTGCACTTCAACCAATCTCAAAGCCTTCACCTCGGTTTCCCTCAAGCGTGTCATTTTTATGGGCGCAAAAAGAACGGAGCGAATTTTGCCAGAGGACCACGATCAACCAACCACAGATACACAGGACCACCAACCTAACGACTGCCGTGTTTAGAGATGGTCAGAGAGAACCCACTCTGTCTCTTGTCAAAGTCGACTCTAAGTTCTTTTCGAGTGCTAGCAGGGAGCCTAGTTTTTTCTTCTACTGTTTTCTGATATTATCCAAGAGATCGCCGTTGGTGACGTAAATGTTGGATGAACTCGAGCAATTGATGGCGTTTAGGGGTCTCAGTTTTTCAGTTTTCACTATGAGCACAACCATTTTGGAGTTATTTTTTTTTATTAAAAAAAATTACGTATCTCGCACCAATCAGATCGCCGCATTAGGGTATGTATTTCGCACCAATCAAAGCGTAGTTTTTGTTCTTTGGTTTGATAGGTGTTCAAATTTCAACGAAGTAGGGGGGGATTCGGAGAGAGTGGTGGTGGAATATTCCAAAATAGAACAAATAATCGTGAAAGCTGATCGCGGAAAAGCGACTGCGTGACGCTCGGTAAGTTGTGAGATGACATGTTATCACATATTAGACGAAAAATCTCTTTAGAATCCCAGTCTGCATTTTGTACTAACAGTCATCCGTGGCACCAATACAGTTTATTTTCGGTTACAGATATTCGCACAACACACACAGTCTACCACAAAGTACCTGTGCGAGTTAATTCGACATTTTCGTTCTTTTCCGCGTTAATACTCTTCTTTCCTTTTTTAAGAATGTAGACATCACTTAAAATGTTTCAAGTAATCCATCCACCCCACAAAAAATAACTCTTGCATGCAAAGCATGCCTATGTTATATCATCCCAGCAATAAAAAAGACGCACAAAGAATCGCTGACAGAGAAGAGCAAAAGCTGAGGCCAAATGCAGACCTGAGTAAGTTCGAGGTGCACGTCACTTTTGATAATAAGAGACAGGCGGCAGCCACAGTTTACTTCAATCAGTCAGATGGAGTTCAGTTTGAGAAGTACGTTGAGATGTATTACAAGAGGCTTCACTGTATTCAAATACCTGCAGTGACATTGTCAACACCTTTCTTCAGCTATCTTGCAGAGCACTGTCTGACTTCCTTCCCTTTGATGAGGGCAAGCTCCTGAAGGAGCTGAACGACAACTTCTCGGTCAGGAGAGAGCTGGAGATGGCTGCCAATCAATTGAATCTGAAGTATAGAGAGTACATGGCAATAGCAAGTGCTGCTCTTATCAGAGCGAAGAACATCAACTTTGACCAGGCTGTTGTCGAGGAGCCAGATACCTTTGTGTGGTAGCAGACCGAGTGGCGGACTGAGTAGCTTGGCAGTTGTCAAGAGGGCGGCAGGTTGAGAGGCTTGGACGTTGTTTCGTTAAAAAGCTGTCGGCTTTTTTTCTCTCTAAAATGACAGCATGAAAGGACTTGAACTGCTTGCATACGCAAGATGACTCAGACTCAAAGGCTACTTGAGACTCAAGAAGTGGGAGCACCTTGAGTTCATACTAAGAACCCCTATCCTTGATCTTTTAGTTCCAGATATCAACACACCAATACTAAGAATGAGCAGGTATATCAGGCCGTGGATTGAAAGAGGGAAGGGAAATGAGCGAAGGAGAGAGATCAGAGCTATCGAAGAGATGCTTAGTCTGCAAAAGCCTTCTCTTAAAGAATCAGAAGCGAGAGACAAGTGGAAGGGCTTCGTAGAGAAGTACAAACCACCTCCTCGATTTGAAAGGGTTTGCAAGGCAACTTCTGATCGGAGACAATCGAGGTACAGCCCCAATGAGTTCACGGAAGAGGTGAGACCTGAAGTCTTGAGATCATGAGAGACGACTGTCAGACGAAGGTCAAGATTATACTCTCTTGGATGACGGTGAGAGACAATGAAGACGGATCAACCCAGCTCATGGATTCCCACTTCCATACTGAGGTGGCCAGAAACCTCGAGCGACTGACGAAGAGGAAGTCTTATGTGAAAACGATCCTGGAACGAATTCAAACTTATAACAGGGAAGGAAGCAACAGGAGGTTTCAAAGAGTAACTTCACTCAAAATTCATCTCAACAGGTACAAACCACTGGATGGACTGTCTTACATAAAATTCCCTAGTAAGATTGGGAAGGAGAGGGCAGTCCCGAATATCAAGAACAAGAATGAAGAGTGCTTTCGATGGTAAGTTCTCAGGCACCTCAACCCAGTCAAATCGTACCCTAAGAGGGTCTCAGACTTGAGAGAAAAGGCTGTCACTGATAGAGAAGTGTCACTCTCACTCTAACAGATTGAAAATTCAGCTCATTGGGTTCAGGGTCAAATGAGATGCCTCGAGAGAGACAGACAACTGCAGCTATCAAACGCAATCAAGGTGGCTTAAGTTGGCTGTCGGGCTGTTCATTGCGCTGAGGTTGTGTTGAGCTACCCCACCTGACGAGCATTCTTTTTGTCAAGCTGTCTGTGGGAATGTTCCTAGGTGTAGTCAATGGCAATTCAGAGACAGTGTTACAGCCAACTTAAAACAAATTTTGAGTCTGACTGGAACTGTCGGTTAGCATGTTGAAAGGGTTTGCTAGGCAACTTCTCATCGAGGGCGTTGAGGGGTACAGCCCCAAAGAGTTCCTAGAAGAGGTGAGACCTGGAGTCCTGAGGATCATGAGAGTCAACCATCAGATGACGATCAAGATGATCCTCTCTTATAAGATTGTGAGCTATTCATTGCTGTGCTGAGGTTAATTTGTGTCGAGCTGTCCCAGCTGATGAGCACTCTTTGTGTCAAGTTGTCTGTGGTGCTGTTCCCAGTGCCGTCTCAGAACTGGTCAAAACCAGTCAAAACTGGTAGAACCCAAAAATTGTCCCAAGCCATCTTTCAGGCTGTCCCAGAATTTTCATTTCCCTACTACTAAATAGATCTCTTGAACAATAAAATACAAACATGTGAGAGGACGGTTCTCTCCTTACAATCTACATCATACTTTCGAGGAGTTTTGGTATAAAAAGGGCAGGTTTAAGTGGGCGAGACCAAACGTTTTAGTATATCTATAATACTCTGTCAATGCGAATAATCCATACCATGATAACATTCTGCAGATAAACCAGTTTAAAAGCCTGGTTCAACTTTTTGTTTTAGATTTTTCACTCTTGATTCTATATCTTCCAATCAAGCCTAAGCTTAAAGGCCAGGACACAGTTGTATAAAGGGTGGATAACGCTACCCAACGGATAAATCGCTATCCGGCGGATAAGTGATAGCAAAACGAATAGCGTGATCCACCAGATAGAGTTTTATCCAGCGGATAGCGTTATCCAACCTTCTAACAACCGAGGCTAGAGCGTAAGGCTGCATTGCAAGTAAATTCTTTCTCAGGTTCTTATCTTTTGAACCAACTTCTAAGGAACGATAACAGTATTCAACAACTTTATGCACTTTTAAGGAAAACGAGGGTGGGTCATTTAAGACATTATAGAATTAAATTACCACTTTTTAAGCCCGTTTAAACCTAACTCAAATTCATTCCTCCTTTAAACCATGTTGGTGACACGACTGCAGAGTTACTTCAAGGGGAGAAATGAATACAACCTCAATGAAATAATGTACTTGAGAGTTTCCGTTTTACCGAAAGTTCTATGAATGAGACCAAAGGCTTGTAGGAGTCACCAATGCCATTGAGAAGCTGATAATCTCATGCAGTAAAAGTACCAAAGATAAAAATAAAGCCTTTGTGTAAAATTGTAAAAGTATCACTAAGCTGAAAGAAGTTGACATACTTACCTTCAGAATCAGACCGTTCCGAGTCAACTTCAAAAGATCCACAAGAGGAAGTGTCCGCGTCAGCTAGACGATGTTCTGTTACGGAAAGAGAGTTTAGATTTACCGTTAGTACTAGGACAAAAACAGTTATAACAGACAAACGCCCATTTGACATTCACCCTTCATCCGTCAACAAAGAATCATGATACGTTACATAGCTTAAACAATAAGAGTTTAAATCAACAAAAATCAATTCTAGAAGTATCTCAAGCGGATGAACAACCCTACGACAAATGTGAAACATAAAGTGTATTGCGAATAAGTGTGGTACTACCAAAAGAAGTAGTCACAAAAGCTAATGAGAAGAGAAGAAATATCACATGGAGCTAATAACAGCTTACAATACAAACAAGCACACTGCTTTAAACCTTTAACTCCCAGGATCTGATTGTTAATTCTCCCCTCTAGCTGCTACAGATTTCCTTGTAAATTGGTTGCAAGAATTTGTTGTTAGATCAAGATAACAACTTCTACCTAATACATTTAATGTGAGAACTCTCATTACATGTTTGCTGGATAGTAGATGGATATTTTAGGGAGAAGTTACATGTGAATCACTTCTGGGAGTTAAAAGGTTAAGTGAAAGAAATTTCTAGTGACCATGTTGTGATTGGTTTTTAAGTTTTGCATCTGATTGGCAAAGAGGGTGGATTGAGTTTTCTGAACCAGTATAACAGAGCAAACTCACACCATAAGCAAAATGAGCAACATCCATATAACATTAACACATCATCCAGCAAACAAGCAACAAGTAATGACTCCCTTATCAGAAGAAAGGAGTCTTGATGAAGTACACCTGCAACACCAAATTCTTCTGACAAATCAACACAGAAAAGTGTACTGTCATGAAACAGATAAAAGAGTTTTACAATCAGATTTTAGGAAATGAAGGGTTACAAACTGAATTCAGTGGAAGTATTGTATCCAGTAACAGAGAGCTCACTTACCATTTTCAACTTGTAAATCTGACCAGTAACCAACAAGGTCATGGGAACCACAAGAAGATGTTTCAGCATCAGCAAAGTAGTCACTTTGGTTATCATCATCCTTAGGTTGTATCCTTGATGATTCTTGTTCATCATTAGAAACTGTTGTAAAAATTGAGGAATAAATACATTTTATGTATATTTCAACAATTGCAATATTGGTGGGTTTGTTATGACAGTGAACACAATTTTTCATAAAATGGCAGAATGTAAGGAAGGATGGAGTAAACCATCTCAGTGTCACAAGAAAAATCTAACCCCAAGCCTTCAGACTTGCACTCTGATGCCATACCACTGACTTGCAGAGAACTTGCAGTGAGTTAAATTTGTAGGCCACTATAAAGTCCTGCATTCTGCTGAGATTTATATTGGCATGTAGCAAAATAGATAAAAACTGCTTGAAAACTTCCTACACACTATTGGGATGGTCATGTGTCTGAATAGTTGTAACATCTAAATGGTGAATCTAACAAGAACGGCATGTTTTATAAAATGGCATCAAACTCAGCCTAAAAGAATAAGATACTCACCAGTCTGTTTCTGAACATTGCCAACTGCTTGGACTAACTCTAACCACTCACTTGTACTCAAAGTGACACTATTACTATCACTTTCTTTAGACAATCTGAAAATAAAAATCAGTCATGATAAAATTACCCACCTATCACATTAATCAAATCAAGTGACAACATAGCAATACTAACAACAAGACGTCATCATCATTATTATTTTGAATCACCTTTTGTTTACATCTTGTAATAACTCCACCAATTTGTCATGGCCATTGGCCCTTGCAACATCCTCTGGCAGAGGAGTTCGATCCTTGTAACTGTTGAAGACAATTTTTCCAGCAGAGGTACTGAAGATCACTTCCAAAAACTGTTGAGCACCTTCTTGAGCAGCAGTATAAACAAGTAGCTGAAGGAATTTAAGAGACTGCACTTGTTTAGCGTCAGGTAATGAGCCTGGGTGGAAAAAAGTGAAGAACACATAATTTTATATTAAAATTTGATTTAATTAAAATATACTTGACTGTGTACAGCACGTCTCCAAATGGCTTGAGATATGTCTTTTCCAAACCCATTTACACCATGATCCCAAGATGAAAGAGGAACAGATTCTTATACTAGGTTACTTACCTTGGTCTAAACAACTGTGAATATATGAAATCATATAGGTGAACTGCAAATTAAGAAGTGAATATGAAAGCGATCTTTGCAGTAATGAATGCTACTTGAGCAGTGGTGGAAATAAGGCCTGAAAAAAATTCAGGCCTATCTGTACTGGATTTCAACCCATGACCTTTGCCATACCAGTGCACCCATATCTCAGAGGCCTGAATATTTTTCAGGCCTTATTTTCACTACTGCTCAAATAGTGTTCATTGCTGCCAAGATCACTTTCATATTCATATACCTTGGTCTGGCAAACAAAACAGGCCTGGTGTCTGCGCAACATTGCTACCGCTTCCAATGATTCCATGTTCCTGGTTCCACATGGTTAAGAATGAAAACATTTGAGCAGGGTCTTTAATGGCCTGTTTGAGGGCCTGGTGCACCTCATCCACATATGTGAAGTAAGTAACTCCCAGCTTTCGACCAGCCTTAGTGTAGACTGTTACACGAACACGGCCAACTTTTTGGGCAGCTGGAATGGAATGAAAACTTTTTTTTTCAGGCTAAACCCCTACTCTCTTTATAGAGTAGCAGAATGATGAAGATGTATACAGATTGACACAGAGACAAACTGACCAAATGAAAGACAGACAGACAATCAGAGGGGTGTGGGTCCAGTACAGTAAGCTACACCTGTAATCTACAAGGGGTAAAATTGACAAACAATTAACTTACCTGGAATAAACCCAGAGAAGGTGTGGGGGTTGGTCTTCTCCAAACTGGCATCACCTACTTTTTCAAAGCATGCCACACCTTTTGTGTCACTTTCAAGCAATGCCTCTTTTAACATTACATGGAACTGAATTCTACCCTGAAAGCAAGACATGTATCAATAACAAAGAAAGATAGGAAATTATCAGTTTGGTAAAGAATGGGTTAACAAGAATTTTTTGTCTTGTCACACTCATGAAAATGAGTATTTCATGAACCTGGTTATTGGCTGGAGAAAATCTCCACTCTTCTAACAACACTATCACACAATGCAAGTTTATTATTGGTCTTAGTGACAAATTTCAGCCCATGTTGTTTTACATCCCATCCAGAGAAGAGTTAGTTTCTTCATGCTAAAGATTCAATGAAGATGTGCTCAGACAAGAAGAGACTTGGCCATATGCTAATTTTATCCTTTTTTCAACCTTCGACTCCTGAACTTGGAAAAACAGGTTTGAAAGCCAGATACTTTTCTCCTTTATTCTCCCTTAGGTGAAAATGCTTGAAAGCTTTACAAACATATCAGCTAAATCAACAATCTTTGAAACATATCAAACCTCACTACCAGTGCAAAGAACAAAGTTAATTGTGTAGCTAGGCACACTGATATAGAAAAAGAGAATCTACAGTTCACCATAACAACTTCAATTATGAAATAGCAACATTTTTCCAGATCAAAAATATAAATAAAAGCTCATTAAATGTTTTATATTCCTAGGGATTAACTGAATTAGACCCAGGCCTCCATGCTGTGCCTGGCTAGCAGTTGACAGACATTTGGTTGTTAAATGACCACAGACTTTGTTTGTCTGATTGTTCGATTCCAGATGTTCTTTTCCCATCCTCCCCCCAAGAGGCTTTTCTCATGCCTGATTGTAAATTTGCAGATCACCATGACAATTTCTAAAATAATAAAATTACCTTCACAGAGCCTGATGGAGGGCAAATACCTTGGACCACTGAAAGTGATTGGAAGGAATATTTGTAGAAGTAAATCAAAGAAACAAACTTCTCTATTTTTATCAAAATAATAAATCATTTAAATTAGACCCATTTTAAAAAAATATACCTCCACGTTGCTGCACAACATTACTTGAGTCAGTATTGATTTCCTCCAATGCTAAGTGGAAATCTTCAGTAGAAATGCCTAATATCTGGTAGGGCAAGGATTATTAAATAGCAATAAACTTTCAAACCTTTTACTATATATATCAAGACATTCTCAACCAGATGGTGATGAGAAGAACCAAAATGTCAACTAGGGGGTTACTTTTAGATAAAACAACAAATTCTCATAGCTAAAAACATGAGAAATATGAGCGATAAAGTACAGAGAATAGATAACTGGATCTTTGGGTTTGAAATTGTTCAAATAATTAATAAACTGTGTGTTATCTTTTTAAACTTCATGGTCTTGTATTACCCTCTCTCTAAAACAATATCCAGAGTGCCTATCTCTAAGTCATGATCACTATAAAAAACACTCTGATTTCACATGCACAGCACATGTGTGTGGGGAGTGGGGGTGGAGGAGGGTAAATAAATTTGTCCCATTGTCATTATCCCCATTTAAATGATCCTGTACATTTAAATTTGCTTCACCTTCGCCTTTTTGCACTTAAACTCATCTATCTCATAATGTAATGTCTGTAATTTCAATAACAGCTGTTGCAATTTTAATTTACCTGAGATGGACTTTCAATATTTGATGGATCAACATTATCTTCTCTATTGATGTTTCCCTGGAGTGCTGTACCAGTTGCACTCATGGTGAGTAAATCTGAGGAAAAAACAATTGATAAATTAAATTAATACTAAAAATACCATGATATCATATGTAACTGCAAAGTGCAATATCACCCAAATTGTTACATCTGGAAACAGTGTTTCTTGCTACTCTTTAAGCTTCCTTGAGGCTAAATTATACAAGTTTAGAAACAGGACCCACCATTTCTTAAATAAATATTTTAAACTCTTTAACTCATAAGAGTGACAAGCATCTAATTTCTCCTCAAAATATTACCACAGAATCAAATTAAAACATTAAGGTTCACAAACTGAGAATGCTCTTGATTGTTAAGAAAATGCTTCTTGTCAGCAACCTAGGAAACTTATAGAGAACAGTATGGAGAATATGCATACTGATGGTAGAGTATAAAGGGTTAAATGAATGATCAAATGATAAAGCCCTGATCTAATGATTTCCCAAAACAAGCCCAAATGTGAAATCCCTTTTACCATCAGAGACATCCATAAAATCCTCAAAGCCTGTGTCGCTTGCGTCAGGAGATGTGCCAACATCAGGAGACACTTGCAGATCCCCATCAGCCTTAGTTACCAGTGTTAAAAAAAAAGAGACATTTCAATAAAGGCAAAAAGTGTTTAAACTGATGCCATGACAATATTGAAACATTGTGCCTTCTCTATGTACTATTGGATGATTTCAGTATTACCATCACGTACTATTCTAAAATAAAGCCATAGACCCAATGGCAAACTCTTGTTTTTCCAATTTTTTTTGTTTCCAAGAACTGTATGCATTGTGAAGAACAGGGCTTTGCAGAAATTTTGCACGAAATAATTAAATAAACAAACAAACTGCTCCATCTCTGTCTAAGGCCATGAGATAAATGATAGTTGTGATAACTTCTAGACACAGGTATCCATTTCAGGGGATCCCTTCATCTAAAAACTGAGCACAAGTTTTGAGAAAACTAGGTTGCAAACACCTGCCCTAAAATGATTTAACTTCTCCAAGGGGTTTGTATCATAGACTTCTGAAGATGTGCTGCTTGTCTCATGATTATTATCAACTGAAAGTTTCATTGTAGATCCAAACATTGACTGAAACACTTTAGGTGGCATCTGGAACTGTCCCTCTATAACTTCATCCTTGTCATTGACAGACATGTGGTTCAAAATACAGAACCTTATTAAGATAATTACTGAATTAACAGCAAATGCTGACCTGAAAATGGTGATCGAGCGAGAATTTTCTTGGCATGTAAAAAACAGTGCAAATTAATGCTGATTGGAAATGTTAGGCAAACAAATAAAATTCAGAAGAGGTTAAAGCATTTTGATATTAAAACTTCAAAAGGGAAAGAGGACTACAATAATTACTGAATTCTAAGGGTAGATGGGGGTTAAAATAATCGATATCGACTATGGTGGGGTTTGTGTATTGAACATTATACACCCAGAGGACAGTAGTTGTAAAACTACAACACCATTTTTCCCCATGGATACTTTGGACAGTTGTCATCCACAACATCTGTTCATATGATAAGGATTTACAAACCTGTCAGCAGTTTTTCACAGAGGGCATAGAAAAACTCTCATGTAAATATGAACGGAACTCAGTAAGACCACAAAAAATATTTATTTTGGCAGTACCCAACAGACAGATAATCTAGGAGAATTTACTCAAAACATATACTACTTAACCCTTTAACCCCCAAAAGTGCTTATCATGTAACTTCTCCCAATGATATCTGTTCACTGTTTAGCAAACAGGTGACGAGAACACTCAAACTAATCAGACCAAAGTTGCAATCTTAATCTAACACCAAATTCTTGTAACTTAACTACAAAGAAATGAGTAGCAGCTATAGGGGAGAATTAACAATTGGATCTTGGGAGTTGAAAGGTTAACAACAGAGGTTGTAAAGATTTCTTCATTGCTGCTGTCTGGAAATGTTTATAGGCAGACTAATAACAATTCAAAGGGGACTGAACAATTTAAACCAAGGTGTTAAACTTCAAAATAATGTCTGAAATATACTTAAAACGTGATAATTCACTGGAGGTCCACTACAAATTGCCTGATCATCGGGAAGTTCTTCACTTGATCCAAAAAGTGAATGAAACACTTGGGAAGGCATTTGAAACTCTCTCTCTATAACTTTGTTATTTTCACTAAACTTTCGGCATTTTTTGTACTCTTTTGCTCCGTCATCTTGATAGCAACGAAGAAGAAGAGCCTCTCTAAAGCTGTTGCTTGCCCTACTTCGATCGATGCTTGTGTCAAACCCGGGGTTCTTCTTAGCTCTGTACTCAATATATCGTTCTACAGCAGCCTCCCAATTGATACGGAACCGACCCTCCTGATTGACAAACCATGCACACTCCTCTTTTAAGATCAATTCTCGGAGGAAGTGGTACACTTTATTCTTGTTCCCTAGGCGAATATAACGCATTGATCATTAATGTTTTAATTCGAAAAGTTCTTGTTAGAGAGACAGGGGGTTAGACGTAAACAGAAGACTGTGTAAAGTTGATGTTTTCATCTTTTGGTACCTTCTTAAGTAAAGTGGGCTTGGATAAGAAAGAAATGAACCGTAGGAAATAAAAATTCCCGTCCTGATTCAATCAAGGTATAGAGGAACAAACACAAAAGAGTCTCTTTTTCTGGGCGACACAAATGTTCGTAGAATTCGATGTCAGTTTGTTAAATTGCTTACCTTCCCCAAAATTCGCTGCTAGTTTCGACATGTCAGTTGTGAAGGTATCTTGCTTGAGTGTTATCCCAACTGCATTAAAAATCAACCCCACTACAAATGCATGATACTTCCTTGTACTAGGTGAGGAAGTGCATCCGTTCAAGTGGTTT